AGGAAGTTACGGCAGAAATCGGTCAGATGCCACACATGGGGGGTGGGCACACAGCACTTGTCATGATAGTGTCATGATACACAGTGACATGATACCCACAGCGAGATGATACACAGTGTCACAGAATGCGCAGTGTCACCGTGCGCGTAGTGTCACGGTACACGTAGCATGCATTGCGTTACCTCACATTCACGTTGGACTGGCGTAGTAGCTCTGCACGTTGGCATTGCACGCACAACATTAACCCCTGCTGATACCAGCAGCCTGCCACTGTAGCAGACCCACGGCTGCACCCGCGCTCGCGCCACCTGCAGCCGTACCTGACAGAACTTGTCATCGTCAGCAACGTTCAGGGTCTCACTAGCAAAGTCCATGAGCTCTGCAGACCCCTCCAGGGCCTTGACACATGCTGCTAGTTGACCCTGTACAAGTGCACACACAAACACACACACACGCACGTGTACACACACGTGAACAAACGTCCCCTCTCACACTGCAACTCGCTGCGTGCATCTCCTGCGTGCCCGTGTGCCACTTGCTCTGCCCTCCTCCTCGTCCCAGTTACCACACAATCAACAATCAGACGAGGCGCCTGCTTCTGTCCCTTGTCGGTCCCCCTGCACAAAAGATACTCTCCAATTTTCTACACATCCCCTCAGCCACACGGCCTCCTTCTGGTAATGCATAATCCCAGCAGCATTGGTTCAACACAAGCAAACTCTGGACTGGTTTGCTGTTCAGTGTCTTATTAGCAGTCAGGCTTGCTCAAACCAAAGCCGGTGAACTGCCATTTATTTATAGGCAAATATCCTCTCTGTTAAACATGGATCCTATTCTTTGGGTCTTTAGGTAAAGCCACGTAGATAGAAAAAAAATTAACAACAATATCACGACGTTTCGATCACAACACAAGCAATCGTCATCAGGTGAAAAATATAGTGGGAGAGCCGCTGAGGCAGGAAAAATATATAGCGGGGGAGCTGCTAAGGCAGGATGTTATAAAGGTTTGAGATGGTTGTCGCCCAAGGGTATATGGGCGGGGCTAGAGATGAAATTTGCATGTAAATGTAAAATCGGAGATAGCTCGGCTAGAACCACCACCACATCGAGGAAAACAAGAACGGTAGTTGTGCTAGTGAATGTAACTCAGAGATAAGGATCCTCGTTCAACGCAAAACTGTTTAATGGAATACTTACATTCTCCACAATGATACCAATTATATTATTCTGCAACACTCTCATCTCACCTCGTCTCACCTTCTCCTCCCCTGTGCCACACACGCTCGTTGAAACGTGCACTCACCTGCAGCTCGTGCGTCTTGTACAGCTGCTCCTGTTTGATCTTGGCCGCCATGTTGGCCTTGACCTCGGCGAGCAACGTGAACAGCGACTCAAACTCCTCCTCCAGCTCCGTGAGAACGCGGCCAGAGTTCTCCTGTGGGGGGTGAACACGGGGGGGACACACGGCACGGGGGGGGTGGGGGACACACGGCACCGTGAGAATGGGGCCAGAGTTCTCCTGTGGGGGGTGAGCACGGGGAGGACACACGGCACGGGGGGGTGGGGGGGACACGGCTCTGTGAGAATGGGGCCAGAGTTCTCCTGTGGGGGGTGAGCACGGGGAGGACACACGGCACGGGGGGGGGTGGGGGACACACGGCACCGTGAGAATGGGGCCAGAGTTCTCCTGTGGGGGGTGAGCACGGGGGAGAAACGCGGCACGGGGGGGGGGGGGCACGCGGCACGGGGGGGCACGCTGCACGGGGGGTGGCCGCGCAGCATAGGGGGTGGGGCCACGCGGCACGGGGGGGTGGGGACACGCTGCAAGGGGGGGGGGGACACTCGGGCAACTTTATTTCATTTAATCAGGTGAGAACTCATGAGGTCAGGATAGTCTCATCTGTAAGATTTACCTGGGTCACCAAAATAATAGAATCACGAACGTAAAATAGACTACAGCGATGAAGCCAATAGTCGAACAGAGACAGTGAAGTAGAAATCGGCGCAAAAACCAGCATGTTACAGAATATATTGACAACGATGATGATTATTAACATGTCCTGTAATAAGTTGTCTCGGACAAATTACTCGAAGTGCAGTGAAAGGGAGGAGAGTGGCGACTTGGTTAGGCATCCCCATACACGCGGCCATGTGTGCATGGACAGTATATAGTTTACTTATTTTTCAAATACAGACTGAGAACGGGCCCAAAACGTCCAGTGACCAGCAAAAAACAGCAGTCAAAGTTGTAATAAATAAGGGTTGGCAAGTTTCTTGAATTGAGCAAGGTTATTAGTGACTTGAATACCTTTCCTATACTTAGCACTTTCGGCTTTTGTAATGTTTGTTGTTGTAACTTTACTGACCCGCCCCTACTGGGCCATCTGTGACAAAGAGCTTTGTAGCTCATCAGATTTCTCCAGGATGAATAAAGATTCTGATTCTCATAACAGCTTGAGAATCGAGATAAGTTTGTGTCTCAGCCTCTCCACACGCACACTGTACACTGACCTCCAGACCACGCAGAGCTAACTTGATAGACTCCATGAAGTTCTGGATCTCCTCGTTCTTGGTAGCCAGAGTTGTAATAATCCTATGCAACGCATCCTGCAGGCCCAGGGACAGCACAGCACGAGTTTGAACGGGTGAGGGAGGGACGGGGGCGGAGGGTCGAGGGAGGAGACCTGGGCCCCTTGACTGCATCGCCTCCTCAGGTCTCGTTAAAGCGACTTTTACGGTAGAGCCAGACTCATTACTTACACACAGCATGCATTGCATTACACCAGTGCTGCCCAACGCGTTGCCTGAAGAAGAGTTGCACCAGAAAAGTGCGCAAAGTGCGGAGAGACGTCTGCTTGTATTTGAATTAAAAGACAGAGGAACACGTAGATTATTGAATGTATGCAGGTTAATTACATCATCCAAGCTATGTGTACTAAGACAGGGTAAGTTGGTTTGGCCAGAACACGTTGCTAAAAGGGACAGGCTGATGGTCAAGAATAATCATGTGGTAGCTGCCAAGGAATAAAACGGGTCTGGGAGGGCATCCACTGCCGAATACATGGAGCAATACAAAACGTTAATGTGCAGTTGCTGTACGTATGTTGAACTTCTTTCGCACCGTAGGTAGCCAACTGTGCGAATCGGAGGTACTGGATGGATTGTTGCATCGCAGGATTGTAGGAGGCTGCGGAGGTTGGGGAGACCTTCATCCAGCAGTGGATTGATCATGACTGATGAGGAATTTGAAAAACATATGCAAGTTTTAAAGTACAAATATTTTATCTGGCATCTCATAACCTGTCTCAATAATGTTCCTGTTGTGCTCCTCACGGAGCAATCCGCGCAGAACATGACGCGTTATAAATCTCAGATTGTTAAATAATCCGTCGGGGTGCGAGGAGGAAGTTATTTCTGTGCATTAAAAGAAAACGCCGTGCACAAGCCCTAGAGTTGGAGCATCTCGAGTACAAGGTGTGTCCCAAGGTGAAGCAGCAGCCACAGCAAACACGCCACGCGCAGAACAAGTCAGGAAGGAGGTGAGCATGGCAACTGAGTGATGTGCTGCGCAGAGTGGGTGGCGTGCAACAATGGAAGATAGGGAAGCAACTTGGACGTAAGGAATAGGTCAGGTGAGGGTTGTAGATATGGAGAGGATTGGGGGGGGGGATTGCCTAGACCAGCAATGGAATGGCCTTCACGAGTCCAGTGACTAAGGCCAGATTGTGCCATACTATTAGGGCGGCGGTTCTATTGCTCTGTGCCAGTCTGAAGGTATTTGTGCGAGTCGATGGTTCTCGGTGTGCGAGTCTAAGAGCAGATGGTGGGAGGCTGTCAGGGCAGATCTTGGAGGTCGCCGTGCGTCTCCGGTGCAGCTGCTACGGGATCTAGCGCAGGGTGGACGGCGTTTGCGCTGCTTTGGTCGCAGCTAGCTGCTTTGGTCGCAGCTAGCTGCTTGCTAGCTGTGGGGATTGCGGAAGAGGAGGCCATAGAGCTCTGCGACTAGACACGAGCGCCGTGGCGGGCCGCACCTCGCCCGGCCCCAGTTTGCGATGCCCGTGAGAACGCCTCTCACGAGCGGGCTGCCCCCGTTTTGTGTCAATAGACACAGCACGGGACGAACGCGTGAGACCCGAGACAGCATCGCCGAGTCTCACGACTCTTTGTTCAGGAGGGTCCTGCCAAGTTTGTCGCAGTACAGTACTTGTGTAGGGGGCGATGTCGCTGCAGCTGCGATACCAGTTGAACCCATTTGCAGAGTGAGGATTGGGGACTGGGCCAATGCCGTTGACACTGCGTATCTTAACACCATCATTGTGGCCTCGTGCGTGGGGATTGGAACAAGACAATGAGCGAGCAGACAGCGGCCTCCTACTGCACGAATCTCTAAACGAGAGCGAGACCCGAGCCAGTGCCTGCTTGAATGACAATAACTCACGATCACAGCGGGCGGGGAGGGAGATGCGGAGCCGATATGAAAGATAGGCGAGGTGCGAGATGTGAGTCAGAGATGAGAGCAACGTGAGAGTGAAGAGATATGAGAGATAGAGGGCGCGGAGAGAGATGAGCGGCGGATGATACGGGATGTGAGCGGGCAATGTGGGGGAATGATTGTAGACGTGAGAGGGAGACAGAGGAGGTTGATGGAGACAAGGTGGGTGGAGATGAGAGACAGAAGTGGAGGTTGATGGAGACGAGAGACAGAGAGGGGACGAGGTGTGAGGAGCCGCACCTTCTGGGCCTCCATGGTCGCCTCCTCCTCCTGCAGCGTCTGGGATGTGCGTGACGTCATCTCGCACTGTGACGGTGACGTCAGCGCGGCATCTAGTGACATTGCGTCATCGCTTTATGAGCTAAAACTATAAACATGTTTTCCTTTTACCGGGTAAGGTCCACTGAGATGTAGACCTATTTTTCAGACGAGTAATAGCTCAACGAAGTGGCTTATCATGTGGAAATGTAGAGCGGCCAAATACTCTAAACTAGTGATGTTAATTTTAAATGTGGAGGGGAAAAACCGGAGGACCCGAAGACAAAAATCCACGCGACCACGGGGAGAGAGGCACGCAGGCTCCAAATATACAGCAGCAGGCGTCATGGTCGGAATCGACCCCACGACCCCATGCATACCAGGCGAGGTAGTTAACATCTACAAGCCACCGGGATACACTGCTCGCGACGTCATGGAATGCACTCGCAACGTGGCATGCAGGTGCCACTTCTCTATCTGCAAACTGGCGCCCGCCTTCTGCTGTCATGCGCTTCAAGTGGATCATTTTACAACATTCACCAGATGCCACCAAGGTCACCAGCGCACTTGTGGGCTTGCAATCTCGAGGTCGCCCGCTTGATTCCGCCTCTCCAGCGCGGCGGTTGAAATGGGGTGAGTTTCTCAAATTTCACCACCTCTCATCCACTCGATTTCCAAAACACACTGTACACACAGTAACGCGGAGATAAAGACGGGCACGACAGCCAATGCGACGCATATCAGGCCCGGGCTCATGGCGACACGTGGACTGCTTTTCCAGCGCCAAGACCGATGACTGTTGTATTTTACCAGGTAAAGCCCACTGAGCCATGTAACTCTTTTTCAGAAGTGACGTGACTATCATATTTATAGCAGCCAAATTCTCTAATAGCATGTTGATTCTAAATGTGGTGGGAAAAACCGTACCCGGAGAAAAAATCCGTGCGACCACGGGGAGAGAGAGGCACGCAAACTCAAAATAAACAGGCGTCAGAATGGGACCCACGACCTTCTGTATACCACGTGAGGTCGTTGACATTTCACCACCGTGAGAGGTTCGGAGAAAGCACGCCAGTACCACACAAAATTCAGGATTCCGCATTTCAGTGCCGAACCAACCTCAAAAATCAACATCTAACTCTGATTTAGCCATACGGAAGGATAACCCTTGTATGATGTTTTTTATTTTGTTGTGCTGTGCTGATGTTATTTGCAAGATGCATTTCTGGGATTTTACCCCAACAGACACGAAAGCCGAGTGACCGAAGGGCAAGCAGCAGCAGTACACACTCCAGAGCACGGTCTTTCCAGAGCACCCTTGCAGAGTTCGTTAATGTCCCAAGTGTGTCATATCGTCAGGTAGGTGTTCATCTAAAAGTCGGTATAAAAAAACCATTCCGATAAAAAAATGTTTCCTTTGCACACTTGCTGAGCAAAGGGCAAATGTGTAAAGTGGCCATTAACATACAGCACTTTGGCCTAGTGCAGGGGCGGGAAACCTGCGGCTCCAGAACCCACATGCGGCTTTAAAGATTGCTTCGTGAAGTTGTCTCATTCACATGCATTGCGGCTATTGAAATATTGAGGTTTTTTTACGGAATTCGAAAATGAATTTCTCTTATTTTAGTTGGCGACCACTATCCTAACGTGTTTTTAAATAGTTTGCATTTAAAAATGGGTTTTGGAACAAAAAAAGAGCCAAGCTTTGTCGATGCCTCCCACACAAAAATCACTGGACGGATGAGACTTGTCACGCTCAAAGACGTTCAAGGCTTGAGGCCCAAACACGAGTAACACACCAACAGGTCACCTGCAGATCGCCCTTCGCGTTAAGTCATGCCGATGACCACAGATGGGACTCCTCCCAGCGATAGATCAGCTGTGCGTGCTGAATTCCATCACTTTGTATAGTAATGCAGTGAATATGCTAGTGACCATGCCAGATGGCTCACCCTTTATTTGGAACTGGGAGGCCCCAAGTGAACGTCAGTTTGTTGGTACAGTGCAGGTGTGATACAAGAGCTCGAGCATAACCAAGAACTGGTGCAAGTATATTTGCAGTGCACCACTCGGTCACTCCGTGGATACAAACCCATCGTACATTCAGTACAAGTAATGTAGACACCTTTATTTTAGTCACAGTAAGTATTCTCTTATGCTACATGAGCTGCATACGGTATTTGTGGGCCACAATAAACGTAAACTTCCAAATGTTGATGTGAATTTTGTACGAATATTGATCTTTCTTAACCATGTAACATATGCTGTATAGAACATTTTTGTAGACGGTCTACACTTGTTTCTGTAATGAGTTGGTTATTTTCACAATTCGAACAAATATAGATGTATAAACGATATGGAATGCATTCGTGTTCCGCATTGCAGGACAGCGATGGCAGCAAGGCATGGGGAATAACGTGTCAACTCTGACAAACCTCAGCGGTGCAAAATCCATAAAACGGTCCTTGCCCATTCCACAATTGGCCAAATGTGATTGGTGCTTGCAGAGGGGTTCTCCTCTTGAGATGTCAACTTTGAAATTCATCGCCCAAGGCCATTTCACCAGTGAAATCCCCAGCTACTTATTTCAATTTGGGCTGAAAATAAGACACCAACTTCAGCCTCATGGTGGCATACTGGCAACACTTGAGAGTCAGAGGACGACCTTGGTTTGATTCTGGCACCTTTCTGTGCGGTGTACATTCTGCCCCTGGTTTACATTGGTTTCTGGTTCCACCCATAGCCAAAACATGTACGCTGTATTAGCCAAACATCTCAATGTAGCAGGACCCTCCTGAGTCTTTAGACTGTTCTCACTTGAGGCATTGCAGTGTGATGTTTTCAACAAAATGAGTTTCTGCTTAAATGGCTACCGAGGCATTGGTGCTCATATCCTGTTTACAGCCCTGTTGAGCCAGCAGCAAATATTCCACACTCCGACTGGGGCGAGTTGCTTCATCGGCGAACCACCTGTTGAATCCTAAGTGGACTAATTCTATCAACCCCTAATTGGGGTTTGAACTCGTAGCCTTCAAATTGCAAGCCGCTCGCTCCACCACTGAGCAACCCGGCTGGAAATCCCTTTAATGTGCATACGTGACTACGGAATGCCAGAGTATACGTTTTATTATTATAAGTAGCAATAAATAAAAGGCTTACAACTAAAGTCTTGTTGTGAACAATCTTTACCAATTACCGGATTTCTTCCTGTTAAGGTACCTTCAGCGACTACCATAGTACGCAACAGTATAGAGATTACATTTTCTAAATATGTAAATGCACAGACGTCTATTGAGTACACGACGAAAATACAAAAGAAATTAGTTACTGTAAAAAAGGCCTTCACGCTTGTCTCAACACCACTCCCTTCTTGAGCAGCCAGCAGACAAACGAGCGGGCACCCTGGACTCCGTCAAGCGACGAGGCCCAGCGAGAACAGGCGCCGTCTCCGGCACAAACCCATGCTCACAAACACATGCCGCCCGGTTACAAAACACGCAGCCTCTACCGATTGGCAACACAATGTCGTCACGGGTCGGTGCCGGCCGTGGCCCTTCTCTTCGTACGGCCACTACCAACTTCCCCACTGGACGATACGAAGAGCAAACAGACCCCACAGACTTGCCCCGTTCTGTAGGGACCGACCCCGAATCACGACAGTCACACAGACGCGTGTAGGATCCCTGGGAGCAGAGACGCACAAGTATTGTCCATAGTCACTTTCACACGCTACTTCTTCCCTCCGCCAACCCACACTGTCCCCAGTTTTGACCTACCCCATCCCCGAGTACAATGCATTAACTCTTTGCATTCAGAACACTCACATGATCACAGTCCAACCACATATACCGTACACATATGTATATATACACACACACAACACATATGTATACACACATATATCGTACACAGTATTTACATACTGGGAAATATAACAGGAACCAACCTCCGCCCATCAGTACGATTGCAAAACTGCGTTAAAGGATTCAAAGGCACGTAATAAAAAGGCAAAAGTATACGTGTGACCCAGGTTTTGTTGAGTTTATACACGAGACACAATGCAGACGATGTGGGCTGTGCTCGCCCGAGCGGCGGGGCCTGCGTCTGCGGCGGCGCTGCCTCCCATCACATGGAGGCCGCGGCGCCGCACCGGGCCGTGCGTGCGTGTCCATTCGCCGAGCGAGTCTGGTTGGTGCGGCCGGCCTCCTGGTTAGTCACTGTCGGAGTCGATGTCGCTGGGAGACCACTCTACGTGCGCGGGCAGCAGGCCGGCGCGCTGCGCGTGCTCAATGAGTGCCGTGTGGCAGAAGTAATACTGGTCGGCCGTCTGGATGGAGAAGGCACGCTGGCTGCGCATGCGCCGCACCGCACCCGCCACGTCCACTGTGCCCACCTCACGCAACCTTGCCAGGCAGATGTCCAGCGTGCAGAACGTTCCTGCAGGAAGCACGTGGCCGATTTCAGATTCACCGCACAGACGGGGGGGGGGGGGGAAACGCGTGCAGCATCGCGTGTCGCGTCACGTTACGTTAACTGGCAATACAGGAGGAGTTTATATTAATATTACGATTCACAATGCCGGTGGCAGGGTGGCGGAACGGTGGCACTTGTTCCTCACGAGGACCTGGGTCCGATTTCTGACTGGGGCGCCTTTCTGCAAGGAGTTTGAATGTTATCCTCCTGTTCTGTATGTTTCCACCAGGTTCTCTGGTGTCATTCCAGAGCTAAAAACTAGCACTGTCATTGGTGTTGAGCAAACATCCCAATGAAGCAGGACCATCCTGAAATAGTTTTTGGACTCTGTGCATCTTCCCTGAAAATAAGGAAATAAGAGAGATAATTTGTAAACATGCATTGAGTATTTGGCCGCTTTAAATTTCCATATGATAAGCCACTTCATTGAGCTATAATTTGTGATAGCCAGGTTGCTTCTGAAAGAGAGCTACATAGGTCAGTGGGCCTTACCTAGTAAACGACTTTTTTTATTTTTGTAATTGGATAAGGCTTTTAAAATAAAGTTGATAAAAGGACAGTCCCAACACATCAAGTGGCCAGTAATATAAGCAGCACTATCAAAGCTGTCAGAGATGAGTGTTAACATGTCTCTTGAACTGAGCAACCCTATAGTAAAGTTTTGAGAAAAGAAATCGTGACAGTGGGTTCCAAAGTGGAGAAGTGTGAGGGAGGAAGCAAGACAGATAAATGTTGTGATCTGCAGTGTAGCGAGTGAGTGGGTGGGTAAGTGAGTGGGCGATTGATAGGTCAATGACTGGGTTAGTGGGTGAATGATTGGTTGAGCAAGGGAGTTGTTATGACCTGCAGTGTGGTGGTTGAAAACGGTGTGGATGACATGAAAGTGTCTGGTACACCAGAGTCCTCAAAATAGGTGGAGGAATCAACGAGCTAAGGTCACAGTTAAATCTACCATGGTTGCTTTTGGGCGAGTGAGTGAGTGGGCCAAGTCGATCTGTACTCGTGGCCCAGGCCCAGTAGGTGCGTACCAGTGCGGCCAATGCCGGCGCTGCAGTGCACGACCACGGGTGGCCCCCCCGGGTGCCCGCGCCATTCACCCCCCAGTGCCTGCGTCGCTGCCGCCTGGTGCCGCGACACGTGCGCCAGGAAGTCAAGCATGCCGAGCGCCGAGCGCGGAACCCCGAAGTCCGGCCAGCTCATGTATTGGTAGTGCGCGACCTCGCGGGTCTCTCCCGTCTATACACAGACGCACACACAGCACCGTTGCACGGACAGTCTAACGGCTATGAGCCCAGGAGCAGTGCGCTCGCCACTCATTGCAGAGGTTCGCGGTTCAAATGAATGAGATGTGATGCAAGTCGCTCATTGTTGTGTAGGGTGCTGAAATGCCCCCGGCAGAGAGGAAGGCAGCTCAATAAAAAACAAAAGCATCATTAGATGAGAAGCGACACCACGTCCAAGACGTGCATTATTCACATTTGATTTTTAGGTTGGGCCACGTATCCCTTCCACCACCCAAAAGTCGAACAATAAATTGTCACATGTGCAAACGTTTAATGACACAATTGTTGCTTCAGCTAACTCACTGGTAAGCTGAAGAGCAATTCTCACAGCAATAATTGGCAGCGATTAGATATGCATTGCTTCATTTGAAATCACGCCTAACTTCAGGAAAAAAACCCCAAAAAGTCAGAATAACCAACGAGGAAGGCCGTCAGAATGACCAAAATGACCTGCATGTTGTGGACTTCAAGTGTGGTCAGATTGTAGTCCTGGAACTTTTCCAGATGCAGGCTGGTGACCGTGAAAGGGCCGAACGTGCAGCTGCTTGTAGCGTCCAGAGGCCAGTACTGGCCACACTTCACCCGGCCCCTCTCCACCACCCTGAGCAGGGCGTGCGTACACGGGAATACAGACACCACACGTCCACGGCGATCGAAACCGCTTCACTTCGCACCATTAAATAAACACGCACGCATCTCCCATATTCCAGTTGGGGCTCATGCTGCCCACGTGCCACAGAGTACACAAGAGCTTAGCGTACATGTCGAGAATGTGACAAAATAATGAAATCGACGATTTACCTCCTTCATATCTGTCCCTCAATGTAAAAAAAAAACATCCCAACAGCCAAACAGCCTTCCTTCCGTGAGTCATTTCAGCAGCATTGATTCAATACACACAAACTTGACCAGTTTTGACAGTCTGAGTGAACTGCCAGGTGTTTATTGGCTCCGTTAGATATGGGTCCTAGACACTCATTGGAGGCAGAGTCAACCAAAGGAAGGCTCAGGACTAGTTCAGATAATTATCACTGGTCTTGGCTGGGAGCCGAATCGAACTCAGGTCGCTGGGTTCGTAGCGCAAAGCACTTAACGCTCCCCACACACTCATCGTCATCCTCTCCAGAAGAGAGAGAAAAGCATACAAACTCCAAACATAATTGAACAAAGGATTCTCGCTGTGAGGCACAAGTGTTAACACTGGCGCCATCCTGCCGATCATTATTGTTATATTTACTTGACTATACAGGGCCAATGTGGCAGTTTGTCCGAGACAGAGGAAATGAGATGGCTGCACTGGGGGTGACCCTCACCGCGTGGTCATGACGATCACCTGCACTCTCTGCTCCCACACCATCCTCCAGAAATCAACAAAGGTCTGCGGGATGGGGCCTGCGCACAGCGACACGGGCGTATGTCACTGCGCGAGCTCTGCCGACGGCACGTAGCAGCACCCCCATGTCACTTTTGTAAACAGAATCATCCTGGTCCGTCAAATTCTCACGGGGTCAAACCAAACAAAAGCTAAACCGATCACGTCCTTGCGCACCCATTTATGGCTCAGGCCTGCGAAGAGGGGCAGCTATGGGTGTTGCTTCAGTTGATGCTGGGGAAGCCTCACACGGTGAACGTCTCAAGTGAGAACTGGTGATACTGGGGGAGCCTGCGTTAGCCGAGAAACAGCACTGATAAATAACCATTACTTATTTACCCAGAAAAGCCACGCCGAGCCCAAAGACTTTTTCACGAGGGCCCTACTGCAATGGGATGTTTGGCAAACACGAATGAAAACGGCGAGTGTTTAGCGATGCGTGTCGTTAAGTCCCTCCCCACCACTCAACGCAGAGTCGGGAATCGAACCCAGGTCCTCCTTGTCAAGGCGTGAGTTACAACCGCGCTGCCACCCTGCCTAGGAATGATCTAGAGTCGCGCCATTGGCCAGGCAAGGCCAGAGGCTCATGTTTCAGGTTTCTTTTGTGTAACCAGGTGAGAATTCAAAGAGACCAGGGTGAGTATCATTTGCAAGAGTGGGCCGGGTCACAACAATGAAAAAAATAGAAATCAGACCAAAAGCAACCAAACAGAAATAATTTAAAAAACAATTGCATTCAAGGAGAAAATGTAAAACAGTGCACAACATAACCCAAGTCACATTTAGTAAATGTTTAGGTATAAAAGTGGGCTCCAGACCATCTGCACGGATTCAAGGTGCTTATTGCACTGGTGAGTCGACAGACATGGACGTATCAAATGCAACCACAGGTGACGTTTGCAAGTCACATGGCCCCCCTGGCCCCCCGCCCCCATCGTACCCTGCGTGGCGATGTACGCGTTGTGCTGCTTGTAACCATCCATGAAGCTGGCGTTGATGTAGTCCATCTTCTACGCATGACACAACAAAGACAAAGATCGCCCGTATTGCCTTAACAGACTTTTAGGGCAAGTGCTTTTAGAGAGCACCTATGAAAGCCGACACGGCACACGAGGGGGTGGGTGGCCAGCACCATGCCCAGCCGCCATTATCTCCCGAGTGGCGATGTTTACACACCGCACCAGGTACTCATGAGGCCGAGTCGACCTAGCGGAGGCCCAGAACCGGTTGCGATAAGTCATTGGTGTTGGCCGTTAAGAGGGAATCGAACTCGGGTCTCCGGGTTCGTAGCGCAGCGCGCCAACCGCTACACTAGCACTCCTCAGGCGCACACACACACGCAGACGAGCGTTCATATGCAACTCAAAGTGAACTGCTGCTCAAATGAGCAGAGGAATTGATGCTGATCTGCCGATTACAGCCCTCCAGAGCCAGTGGTGGGAATTCTACATTCCTACGTTTACAGCGAGGGAAAAAAGTATTTGATCCCCTGCTGATTTTGTACGTTTGCCCACTGACAAAGAAATGATCAGTCTATAATTTTAATGGTAGGTTTATTTGAACAGTGAGAGACAGAATAACAACAACAAAATCCAGAAAAACGCATGTCAAAAATGTTATAAATTGATTTGCATTTTAATGAGGGAAATAAGTATTTGACCCCTCTGCAAAACATGACTTAGTACTTGGTGGCAAAACCCTTGTTGGCAATCAGAGGTCAGACGTTTCTTGTAGTTGGCCACCAGGTTTACACACATTTCAGGAGGGATTTTGTCCCACTCCTCTTTGCAGATCTTCTCCAAGTCATTAAGGTTTCGAGGCTAACGTTTGGCAACTCGAACCTTCAGCTCCCTCCACATATTTTCTATGGGATTAAGGTCTGGAGACTGGCTAGGCTACTCCAGGACCTTAATGTGCTTCTTTTTGAGCCACTCCTTTTTGTTGCCTTGGCTGTGTGTTTTGGGTCATTGTCATGCTGGAATACCCATCCACGACCCATTTTCAATGCCCTGGCTGAGGGAAGGAGGTTCTCACCCAAGATTTGACGGTGCATGGCCCCGTCCATCGTCCCATCGATGTGGTGAAGTTGTCCTGTCCCCTTAGCAGAAAAACACCCCTAAAGCATAATGTTTCCACCTCCATGTTTGACGGTGGGGATGGTGTTCTTGGGGTCATAGGCAGCATTCCTCCTCCTCCAAACACGGCGAGTTGAGTTGATGCCAAAGAGCTCCATTTTGGTCTCATCTGACCACAACACTTTCACCCAGTTATCCTCTGAATCATTCAGATGTTCATTGGCAAACTTCAGACGGGCATGTATATGTGCTTTCTTGAGCAGGGGGACCTTGCGGGCGCTGCAGGATTTCAGTCCTTCACGGCGTAGTGCGTTACCAATTGTTTTCTTGGTGACTATGGTCCCAGCTGCCTTGAGATCCTCCCGTGTAGTTCTGGGCTGATTCCTCACCGTTCTCATGATCATTGCAACTCCACGAGGTGAGATCTTGCATGGAGCCCCAGGCCGAGGGAGATTGACAGTTCTTTAGTGTTTCTTCCATTTGCGAATAATCGCACCAACTGTTGTCACCTTCTCACCAAGCTGCTTGGCAATGATCTTGTGGCCCATTCCAGCCTTGTGTAGGTCTACAATCTTGTCCCGGACATCCTTGGAGAGCTCTTTGGTCTTGGCCATGCTGGAGAGTTTGGAATCTGATTGATTGCTTCTGTGGGCAGGTGTCTTTTATACAGGTAACAAGCTGAGATTAGGAGCACTCCCTTTAAGAGTGTGCTCCTAATCTCAGCTCGTTACCTGTATAAAAGACACCTGGGAGCCAGAAATCTTTCTGATTGAGAGGGGGTCAAATACTTATTTCCCTCATTAAAATGCAAATCAATTTATAACATTTTTGACATGCGTTTTTCTGGATTTTTTTGTTGTTATTCTGTCTCTCACTGTTCAAATAAACCTACCATTAAAATTATAGACTGATCATTTCTTTGTCAGTGGGCAAACATACAAAATCAGCAGGGGATCAAATACTTTTTTTCCCCTCACTGTACCTATAGGAAAACCACTGTTGACATCCCCCACAAAGTGGTAGGCATTTTATAAACCATAGAGAGGTGGTGGGCCAAGTTAACCCCCACTGTGTTGAAAAATGTGCGTAACAACAAATTAACCAAACCCATCGTGCGACCCTGCCGATTGATCAACTGTGGTGCACACATTTACAATAGTGCTGGGTGGACAAACACGGTGGGTCAGGGGGGGATTTACTTGACCTCATTGTTTCAACTGCCGCCCCCGGGATTGCAAGTCCAGTGTGCTGCTGACCATTCCACTGCTGTGGCAGCACTTCCCTTTGATTCTCGGTTAAAGAAGTGAACAAGTTATGTTCATTACTCGAGACGTTGCCCTGTTTGCAGCAGCCACCGTGAATGCAAAATAACGCCTATTAAGAAACCAAGTTCCTACCTCGTCATTCCCAGAGGAGCCCAACTTGACGCGCGACTGGTCAAGGCACAGGACGTCTGTATAGCGGTTCTTGCCAAAGTTGTACGGCAGCCTGGCACACACAGCAGCGGGCTCGAGGTCAGATGCCGCGAGCGCAAACAGTCCACGAGTCAGGGCCAGATACCTATCTTGTCGGTCCCGACCAAGGTGGCATCATCACAAGTGGTTCCAATAGCTACACGAGGCCAATGATGACCCCGATGCCTGTATATTTGGAGTTTGTATGTTCTCCCCATTGTCGCAGGGTCCTCCGGTTTTCCCCTCCGTATTTAAGATCAACATGCATTTAGAGTATTTGGTTGCTTTAAGTTTCCACATGATAAGCCACTTAATTGAGCTATCATTTGTGGCAAGGTCGCTTCTGAAAAAGAGCCATATAAGCCTGGTAAAATACAAGTTTTTAAATTTGTGCGACTAAGGGTCGCACTGGTTTCTGCTGTGGACCATGGACTAAATCTATAAGTATACTCCACGCACAAGAGAAAGACATGCAGACCCACCAGCAAGGCGGGGGGGGATTTCCCTGGCTCTGATTTGTCTATCCCTGGGACTGCACTTTTAGTGTCACCCCCAGGCAGAGGGAAGAGGTGGGGGGGGGATACATGATTCACTCAAGTCACTCATTTCAGTCACCGACAGTCAGTTCGCTACTTATCACTGCTACCGCTACTACCATGGTTACTGTTCCCATGAACCTCGCTCGTAGATTCCTCCACCCATGTTGAGGACTGTTTACCAGGCTATTTCATCTCATCCACACTGTGCAACCACCAAACTCACAACTCATTCACTTACCCGCCCACTCACCCACATTCACTTATTCACCACACTGCAGATCACAATACTTCGCTTTCTGATTTTTCCCCTCGCACTGCTCCACTTTGGAATCCCCTGCCATCATCTCTTTGGGAGGAAATTCACAAGTTCGGTCTGTGGACTGGGAGAAGCGGCTGCTGGCAGGAAGAGGGGCTTGACATACGATTAGGCCTCAAAACACCTCGAATGGAGTCACAAGAAAATAATTTACATCATTGCAGACAATATAAATAACAAAATAAGTAGAAAATTTACCTCTTTCCAAAATCTGTCCCTCGACATTAAAACTAAAAGTATTTTTTTACACAAATCCCATCAACCACATACAGCCTTCATTCTGACAATTTTTTTAGCAGCATTGGTTTAACACATCAAACTCTGGACCAGTTTCAACATTCAGTATCTCATCAGCAGTCAGACTTCTTTGAACCAATGTTGGTGCAATGCCAAATGTTTATAGGCATGGGCCCTGTTAGATGGTAAACTCATGTAGATGTTAAACTCATTTTAGAAACAAGTGTTTGGATTATTTGGCTGTTATAAATGTCCACATGATTATTTCATTTTCTTTGATCCATCATTTGTGACCAAGTCACTTCTGAAATAGAGCTATATAGCTCAGTAGTCCTTAGCTGGCAAAAAAATAATAGTAAGCTCATAGTTAATTACATTACAGACTGGGGACGGGTCAATTTTCACTGCCTCCGAGGCCTTGTGCAGCAGACGCGTCTCACTTTGAGCAGTGGAAGGTCCCGGTGGGCGGCTGACGCGCAATCTCCTCGTACTCGCTGTAGATGCCGCGCTTCCTCACGGCCTTCAGGTGGTACACCAGCTCCTCCAGGGTGCGGCCTGGACCAATGCCACCATGCAGCCAGCCTTCCTCCCCATCCGCTGCACGGACACACAAAATGCAGACAAAGTTCTCCCATGGAGCCCACCCCAACTAGTGGGACAAGCGCCGGCGAGACAAACATATGAGAGGATACTCTTTGGTTCTATTCGGTAAAGTCACGTAGGTAAAAAATAAAACAAAAAATCACGACGTTTCAGCCACAACACAAGTGGCCTTCATCAGGTGAAGGGACCAAACTGTCCAGAGGACAGCGTTGGAGTGAAGAAAGCCAAGCACAGGTCGCCTCTTTTAAGCTGTGAGGGGGTAAACAGAAAACGCCTTGACAAAGGAAATTAGCATAAAATGTACTACTGTGAAAGCTTGGAATTAGCCTAAAATGATATTACACCACCTTGGGAGTTTGGAATACCACTACTTGAATAAATATACTGTACCATTGAAAATTAGTTTAATGTTTGGTTCGATTTAGAACATCTTTCCAATGGTTGCTTAATTTGAAACCATCTTCTCGGTTGAAATTGTGTCTTTGTTTGTAGATCTGAATTGCCTTGTGAACAAATCTCTGATAAAAACCCGTGGGTTTGCAGAGGCCCTTGGTATCAGAGAAAACTATATCGTGGTCACCCACAGCGTTGTAACAGTGATCAGCTACGGCAGAAGAATTCGTTCTGCCGTGTTTCAAATCTGATTTGGCTCGCGAATTCGGTCAGTGACATGTCGTTTCGTCTCCCCGATATAGCAGTCACCACAGGTGCAGATCAATTTGTAAACCCCAGGGTACTGTAAGTCAGGAATGACATCCTTCACGGAAGGGATCAGGTCACAGATTTTGTGTACTGTATTGAACCGGACCAGGATCTTGTGTTTGTTTAGAAATTTGGAGATCTTTTTAGTAACGCCTGCCATATATGGTAGTGTGATGGTTTTGATCGGAGTATCAAGTGGTTGTTTCTGTATGGAGGGACAAACAGCTTGGCGGATGGTACGGTCAGAGTATCCATTCCTTTTGACGGCCAGATGTACATGTTTTAATTCACTGGTCAGGTGGTGTTGGTCTGAAATGCAATGAGCCCTGTGGTAAAACGTTTTGATGAGAGAATTATTTTGCGTCGGGTGGTGGTGGGACTCAGGTTTCAAGTAGGAATCTGTGTGGGTGGGTTTCCTGTAGACAGAATGTCCAAATAAGCCATCATGTCTCCTCTCAAACAGAACATCCAAGAATGGCAGCTTGCCATCTTCCTCCACTTCCATGGTGAATTTAATGGCGGGGTTTCTGGAATTAATGTGGTCTAGGAAAAGGTTCAAAGCTGGGAGGCCATGTGGCCAAATGACAAAAGTGTCGTCTACATATCTCTTCCACAGGGAAGGTCTGAGGGTGGAAGTTGGGATGGCGTCTGATTCAAATTTCTCAATGAAAATATTGGCTATCACTGGTGACAAGGGGAAACCCATGGGGGTACCCTCATTTTGTTTGTAGAAGGTGCCATTCCAAGTAAAGTAGGTATTGTTGAGGCAGTGCCTAACCAGTGCAGGTGTATCGGGGTCTAGTCCATGTTGGACCAAATTTTCAATTATTTCAATGGTATCAGGTACTGGGACCTTGGTGAACATAGAGACCACATCGAAGCTGACAAGGATATCGTCAGGGGACAGTTCAAATTCTTTGACCATAGAGACCAATTGGGCTGAGTTAAGTACTGCTGAGGCGGTCTTGCCAGTGAAAGGCAGCAAGGTATCTGACAGAAAACGGGCTAGTCTATAGGTAGGGGAGTTGATCGTGGATACAATGGGTCGTAGTGTGGTGCTGTTTCTCCCTCCATACAGAAACAACCACTTGATACTCCGATCAAAACCATCATACTACCATATATAGCAGGCGTTACTAAAAAGATCTCCAAAATTCTAAACAAACACAAGATCCTGGTCCGGTTCAATACAGTACACAAAATCTGTGACCGGATCCCTTCCGTGAAGGATGTCATTCCTGACTTACAGTACCCCAGGGTTTACAAATTGATCTGCACCTGTGGTGACTGCTATATCGGGGAAACGAAACGACATGTCTCTGACCGAATTCGCGAGCACAAATCAGATTTGAAACACGGCAGAACGAATTCTTCTGCCGTAGCTGATCACTGTTACAACACTGTGGGTGATCACGATATAATTTTCTCCAATACCAAGGTTCTTTGCAAACCCACGGGTTTTTATCAGAGATTTGTTCACGAGGCAATTCAGATTTACAAACACAGACAATTTCAACCGAGATGGTTTTAAATTAAGCAACCATTAGAAAGATGTTCTAAATCGAACCAAACATTAAACTAATTTTCAATGGTACAGTATATTTATTCAAATAGCGGCATTCCAAAATCCCAAGGTGGTGTAATATCATTTTATGCTAATTCCAAGCTTTCACAGTCGTATATTTTATGCTAATTTCCTTTGTCAAGGCGTTTTCTGTTTACCCCCTCACAGCTTAAAAGAGGCGAACTGCGCTTGGCTTTCTTCACTCCAATGCTGTCCTCTGGACAGTTTGGTCCCTTCATCTGATGAAGGCCACTTGTGTTGTGGCCGAAACGTCGTGATTTTTTGTTTTATTTTTTACCTACGTGACTTTACCGAATAGAACCAAAGAGTATGGATCCTTGCAGTCACGAAAGCTTCAAATCTAGAATGAGAGGATGGCGTGACCAGAACCGGCCTCACCGGCCGCTGTCTTTTCAGTGCCAATTTTTACATGCCGCACCAGGTGCCCATTTAATGTGTGGTATATTCACTGTCAATGCACACTGTACAAGTAATACATTTAAATGTCTGTGTGTCGTTACATGCGTGCTCTGTATGTCAAGGTCCTCTGTGGGTCATTCAAATAAAAAGCAATCAATGTCAGTTGACACCCTGGACACATGCAGAAAGGCGCCCGAGTCCGGAATCGGAACCAGGGTGCTTCTTGCCGCGAGACACTAGTGCTGTTGCCGTAGTTACCGTTGTTGTTGCCGGTGCCGCCACCACCGCCACCGCTACCCGGCTGCGCACCGTTGGGCTGGCGCTGGTTGTTGCAGGGGCTGAGCGGAGCGTTGTTAGAGACGGATGGCAGAAAGAGGAGGTCGTCCATGCTGGTGTAGCCAGTGGTGGACACAGAGTTGGACGAGGCACAGGCCTGCAGCCACCCAGTGTGGTCAAGTGGGAGCGAGCCCCCCAGCTGGGATGGCAGCGATGCGCAGGGAACAAATGCTTGCAGCTCCGACAGGCGCACGGTGCACACCTGGCGCAGGCGGAGGCAAGACTCACGATGTCACACTCAGCTGTACCAAAACTGCATTATCACCATTTATTATTTATTATGAATGTTATTAAGCTCATTTACCCAGGAAATATTCACCGAGTCTCAAGTCTCTTTTTCAGGAGGGTCCTGCCAGGTCTTTTCAGAAGGCAATGTTGCTTTGTGTAATCCTATATGGTTGTTTTGGCCAATACGAGTTATTTAGCATGTTTTTAGCTGTGGGAAGAAACCAGAGAACCAGGAAGAATCCCATGCAGAACAGGGGGAAACATACAAACCCAACACAGAAAGTAACCTAAGTCAGGAATCAAACCCATCCCTTCTTGCTGTGAGGCGCGAGTGTTAACACGGTGCTACCCTGCACATTTGAAGACTAATTATATAATTATATATATTTTGGTTAGGCCACAATCTGGTCGAATGCACGTCGTTAAGCCCCTCCACCACTAAAAATAGCCAAACATTAAGCCGTCAGGTTTACAAGTGTTGAATGCACCAATTATCCGTTTCAGCTCCCTCACTGGCAATTGAACAATTCTCAATCAAATGTAGATAAACGACAATCACTGTTAACTGTCAAACATCAGGACAAGAGCCACCAAGTATGAATAAGTCACATTTTTACTTTCCCCATACCTCCAATTAGCTACGTATGGTGCGAAAGAAGTTCAACATACATATATATAATTTCTAGGTTGCATATATTGCTGCCCGGAGGACTGTGCTTGCTCGGCTACAACTGCTGCGAGCGTGCTGTGGCCGCACCGCGAGGGTGCGCTCACCCGGTCGCGAAGCTTTTCCCGCACGAAGAGACGCAGGACGGTGAAGGGAGCACGGAACCAGATGGGAGATGACACGATGAGCACGCGCTTCAGCCGCGCGGGAAACGCACCCTGCACACAAGAAAAAAATCATACAGCGGCATTGATTACGCAGACTGTCTCCACACGCGCAGAGGCTCGGCATACCAGATAAGCGGGAAGCAAAAGCCGTTCAAGTTTGATTGCTTAACAAGGTGAGAACTCTGAGAGCAGGATGAGTCATTTTCAAGAGTGACCTGGGTTACCACAACGACAAAAGCAAAAAAAATACAACAATGAAGCAAATATAAGTCAGAGCAGTGATAAGCACGTTATATACATGCACAAAGATAAACAAATATTACGTAAAACAAATTTCCTGCATTGAAAGTTAGGTCTCACAAATTACTTTTAATGCTGCTCATACTAAAATAAAGTTCCGAAAAACATCAACTTGGCTACAAAATTATTATCTGAGTCGTGTATAAATGGAGTCGAATCAAACTGTGTGTGTGTGCAGACTGTGCAAGCCGACCTTGAGTAGGTTAAGCATCTTGACGCAGAGCTCATAGTCAAAGTTGCGGTAGGTGGAGTCCGTCATGTCATACACAAACACCAGGCCGTTCCTCTGGGTGTCACGGCTGTTAACAGAGACAAGATCCCCCATGCAGCCTTTAGCAGACTGTTGGGGAAAATGCTGTTCGCGAGCAGCACCTATGAAGGCCGGCACCGCACACCAGGCGGTAGGTGGCCAACACAATGCTTGGCCCCCTTTGTCTTCCCCATTGCTGATCTTAACAAACCACACCAGGTGTTGATTTAAGGCCAAGTTGACCTAGGAAAGGCCTGGGACCGGTACAGATAATCCTCACAAATGTTGGCCACAAGTGAAAATGTAGTTCAGGTTCTTAGCGCAGTGCGCCAACCATGGCAATGCCACCCCCCTCAACTTGGAACGTACACACACATCTACACTGGAAACAGCAAAGCAAGCGAGCAAGTCAAGCTGTTGCACCGTCAAGATGGCTTGATTACGGACAGCTCAGCAAATGGTACCATGGTAGGGGTATTCAACAAGAACCGGAAACAAGTAACCGTTTTCAGAATAGGTCACTGGTTATGAAATTGAGGAACCGATTCCAGTTGGATTGGAGCCGATTGGCTCGCACGACCGTACAAAGGACACAGCAGCATAAGTCACTGCATGGTTCATTCACCCTCGTTTCTCAGTTAAAAAGGTAAAAGTCCAGCCCTGCAACTGCTTACTTACGTCACTGCTTGCAGAAGGGTCTCCACGAGAGGGAGCTCTAGAGGGTATTTAGTTGTTCCACACTCTTGGAGGGAGGAAGGATGGGGGCAGGGGAATTAAGTAAACTGCCAGACAGGAGTTAGAAACGACAACCTCTGGATTGTAAGTTCAGCGAGGTGACCACATCACCACTCTGCCAGCAGCCTGCGTTCCTCAGTTAAGAAGCTAAACCCATCGTGGTGTTGCTCTCGCCATTTCGATAAGTGCAGCAAACAGGTCATAATATAATCAGTATTAACCATTTATTACTATGAGCATACTGGTAGCGCATAAAAAACACTATTTTAACCACCCTAGTACTGTGAGATGTGGGTCTACGCAGGGCGACTACGCGGGATGGGCCTACGCGGGATGGGCCTGCGCGGGAATGGCCTGTGTGGGGAGGGCCTGCGCGTGAGGAGTGGGTCCGTGAGAAGCGCGTGCCTCTCCACGGCGCGGTCGAGCTGGTACAGTACGGCCTGCAGCACGACGGTGTGCGCCGCGCGCGCCGGCTCGTGCAGCCTCGCCGTGAAGAGTGCCAGCGCCGCCCCCCCAGGGTCCCGGCCACTCTGCTCACACAGAGACAGGCAAAGATCCCCCCATGTAGCCCACATGCACTATTGAAGGAAAAGGCCGGTTGGCGAGAATCTACGAAGACCGATGCGCGAGAGCAGCAAGCGAGGGGCGCGAGCGAGTGCTTGGCGCTCTCACCAGGATTGTGAACTTTCCGGAGGAGAGCTCCGAGCGGAGGGGCTCTTCGTCAGGCCGCAACCCATAGATGCCCTCCCGGATTCGTGTCAGCTGTGCCACAACCACACACAAGGACCCACAGAGATGAAGACAGATATCCCCTGTATAGCCTTGAGCAGACTGTTGGGGCAAGAGCTGTGAGCAAGTAGCACCTATGCAGGTCAGTACGGCACACAAGGGGATGGATGGGTGGCCAACACCACGCCCAGCCGCCTTCATCTCCCCAATGCTGATGTTTACACACCTTACTGATTTAAGATGATGCCCAGGTCAAGTTCAAATATTTCAAATATTTGCCACGTATTGGTCGTGAACAGGAATCGAACACGCTCAGCGAGGGCCACAACAGGCAGAGTGGCAAGTAAGTGCGTTGGATGCCTCCGCGCTGGGGGCGGTTCCTTACCCGGTAGGCGTGGAAGAGCTCGATGGCACGCTGCGTGTGAAACTTGCGAGCGGCCAGGAACTTGACGGCTGTGGCCCAGCACACGGGGGCAGCGCCGTTCTGCTCACGCCAGCGGTTCACCTCCTCCAGGAACTGCTTGGTGGCCTGAGACGCAAACGTGGCGATTTAGGGCCATGAGAGGAAGAGGAAAGGAGGGGGCAGGCAGAGCGTGTTGAGCGAGAAGGACACAAACCACATCCGTATCTCGCTTTAACCTCGAGTTCTCCGATCCCCAAACGCATCAGAATAATCTCCGAAAACGCTACTCAGCTCCACCATCAGCAATGTTAAGTCTCTCAAAACTGGGGGCAATTAGCTTGATTCCCATGGAACACTGGTTCACTCATTCAGTAATCGGTCCGGAGTCTAAGGCACAATTCTCTCTTCCACATTGCTCATTCTTCTGCTGCTCTCCGAATCTGCCCACACGTCCTTCCTTGTCGAACGCGATAAAGCATTCACATTCTCTTCCTCTCGGGATTCCACCCAAGCACCTAGGGGCCATCCATTTAGTACGTACGCATGGAGGGTGGTTAACCCAAATGAGTATGCGGGGTCTACTGACAATGTACATACGCATAGGAAACGGGGGGGGGGGGGGGGGGGGGGTGAAGCCTCGATAATAATTTGTCTACATTGGCCTACAAATGAGTTAGAGAGTCCGGCGGTGGACTTTGTTCAAACACGTCAATATTAGTAATCCTTGATTGTTTCTGCGTGGATTAAATATCGGCCGTTCTATGATTCGGGGGTGGGGGGGGGGGTACGTCAAGCGTACGTACGCAGGTGGGGGGGGGTAAAGAGTACGCGTGCGTACAGGGAGGGGGGGGCAAGTTACAGATTTTTGCGTACGTACTAAATGGATGGCCCCCTACTTCACACAGCCATTACTTTACCGCTTCCTGCCTCATCCATTTTTTCCACTTCCTGATAAAAAAATTGGACGATAAAACTACTTAAAATATGTCTCTACATTGAAAAATGTAAAATGCTTTTCACAACCTAGCAGTGCCACAGCCTTTTGAGAGTGCACAATTTCAGCTGCATTGATTTAGCAGCTACAAACTTTGGACTGCTTACGACAGTAACTCATGAGCAGTCAGTCTTGCTTGATTGAACCAGTGCTGGTTAACTGCCAGACAATCGGCAAGGACCATATCTTTAAAGACAAGGGTCGTTCCTGATAGATAAAACAAGTTCACGTACGTATCCCAACTTTTTTTCATAACTCTCCACCAAATCCTAGTCAAACTTTCCAATCCCTCTGGATGTGAAAACGGTGCTATCTGGCGACTCTGTATCAGCGTGTGGCCTGCACCCGATTGTGGATGTGGTTTGGGAATCCACTCGTAAGGCAATCCCCTAAAGGGCTCAGCGAAGCGGTCGCACTCAGTAGCCCGCGTGCCACTGCCGTTCAGGCCGTGGGGAGGAAGCGATTCTCGGAACTGTTGCAGATACAATGATTTACCGTCAAAAACAAACTCCGGCATTCTCCTCACTGCCCACTGAACAGCTGTTGACATTGTGTTCACCACCAATCAACACAGCCACTGCCTCTTGACGGAAATCTTGCCGATGGATTCACACGAGCCCCGAGAAGGCACTGGGGTGCCAATCTCGCAGAACCAGTAGTGGAAATTCCACATTCCCTTGGCGGGGGCAAGTTTATTCCATATGACAAATCGCTGTTGACTTCCCAAAGCATGGTACTTAATTTATAGACCCCCAGAATGATGATGGGCCGAGTCAACTCCTAACCCCCACCAACGACGCTTTGGACTTGCAACCTCCCTGTGATTGCGAGCCGCAAGCTCCAACGCCGAGCGACCCGGCCGGGTTTCCTGTTGATCCGAGACCCCTCCGTGACTGTTGCTGGTGGGTCCGCCAATAAAGTGCGGAGGACGGAGAGGGGCACGCGGGGTTCGGATCGGCTGAGAATCCCTGGCCAAGACCCCAGTTTTATACCGCCTGGACCATTAATCCGTACAAGGCTCACTCCGAGGGAGTGACGCGGGAGTGCGTGGTGAGCGGAAGGAGTGATGCGGACAGAAGCTCGCAGTGAGAAAGGAGTGATGCAGAAAGAGGTAGAGGCAGCGAAGAGCGATAGGGGAGGAGCGAGTGATAAGAAGGAGTGATGCGGGAAGGAGCGATGAGGGAGGATGACAGCAGTGGGGGTTGGACTCCATTTAAAACCCACATCTGCGTACCTCCGCGGTGAATTTGGGCCTCGTGAAGGAGACCCGGGGGACCTGGGACCTGGGCTCCCCCCCCACCGCCCCGAGACCTCGGACCCCGGGGCCCGACCCGGGACCCGGCCTCGTAGCCTTCAACCCCAGGCCGACGCGACGCCGCTCGCGTGCCTAAATGGGCACGAGCCGAGTGGCCCCGGGATACAGGCTCGCATCCTATCCTTGTCCTCGCCGTCTCCCCGCGTCTCCCCTCACCCCTCACCTGCTCCTCATCGCCCGTCAACCCGTCCGCCATCTTGCCGCGGCGAGCTTCATGCGCATGCGCACAGCGGCCACCCACCTCCCAAGATATAGCCCCGCCCCTCCCCCACAGCCCCGCCCCTTCCGCAGCCCCATCCCTCACGCCCCCATCGTCGACTGTATGTACTGTACTTCCCAAAGCCCCTCCCCTTATCCCCCACACCCCCTGCCCCCCAGCCCCTCCCCCATCCTTTGCAGCCTCTCCGCGATCTCTGACCAACTCCACAGCACTCTCCATCCCCCTTCACTCAATGCTTGCTCCTGGGTCATTGGCTAAAAAAATGTTCCATCAGTACCCGCAAGAGTGACATATGCTACCAGAGATCGTCTTGAAGCGTTTTATGCCCAGATCTCAAATATATATGATAGCAAGGTCAATGTGATAGCGTTTTATATTTTAAAAATGTTAATTAAAGGGATGCATTGGTATGGGCGATAAGCATCTATTGAATATGAAAATAGGAAAAGTAGGTACCGTATGTTGAACTTCTTTCACACCGTACGTAGCCAATTGTGACAATCGGAGGTGTGGGGTCAGGAGAGCAAACTAAATGAAAAAAGGTGTTAGACCAGAGGCCGCCTTTTGGCCTAACACCGTTTGAGACGAGGCTCAAAAGAAAGCTTTTTCTGGTGTGGGCCAATCAGTTTCAAGGACAATGCATATATTAGATTTGAAGCTTTCATGACTGCAGGAATTACTCTTTGGTTCTTTCGGTAAAGTCACGTAGAAAATAAAATAGTAATAGAATACGACGTCTCTATTGCAACACAAGCAACCATCATCAGGTAAGAATGAATGATGAAACAAACATAGTAAACCTAGAAATATAATGCAATACAAAACAGTCGACTAACACAACAGTCAACACCCCACCTGGTTGATTACGTTCTTCCAAAGGTTGCTAAATTTGACACAAAACACAGACACGGAGACACATAGACAGACACATGCATGTATCTCTGTCTGCATGTCTGTGTGTCTGTGTTTTGTCTCTCAAATTTATCTTTGGAAGAACGTAATCAACCAGGTGGGGTGTTGACTGTTGTGTTAGCCGATTCTGTGTTGTATAGCATTATATTTCTAGGTTTACTGTTTGTTTCATCATTCGTTCTTACCTGATGATGGTTGCTTGTGTTGCAATAGAAACGTCGTATTCTATTATTTATTTTTATTTTCTACGTGACTTTACCGAAGTCACGGAAACTTCGAATCTAGTTTGAACCACCTCTACGGGGAGGGTTTCCTCACAACTTACACTTAACTTCTAATTATTATTTAGTTTTATTTTCTACGTGACTTTACCGAAAGAACCAAAGAGTAATGCATATATTATCAGAGTATGTTTTTGTTTGCACTCTGACCACAAGCATTGTGGTTAATGCAGACATGATTCCTCATAAAAAAAGGTTTCAGTTTGGTGTTTTAACTTAACACCTATATTCTTGGTTCTTTCGGTAAAGTCACGTAGAAGGGAAACAATAAATAATAAAAATATAAAACAATAAAATTGTCACGTTTCGACTGCAACACAAGCAATCATCATCAGGTGTGAAAACCACAGCAAGAAAATTTGAAAAAAGTGTCGTTTTTTTTCTGAACGTTAAGAAAAAAACCGCCACTTTTTTAAAATTTTCTTGCTGCGGTTCTCACACCTGATGATGATTGCTTGTGTTGCAGTCGAAACGTCGTGACAATTTTATTGTTTTATATTTTTATTATTTTGTTTCCCTTCTACGTGACCTTACCGAAAGAACCAAGAAGATGAATCCCTGCAGTCACAAAAGCTTTAAATCAAAACTTAACACCTGTTTTGTTGCCAGAAAAAAAGGGGGAAAACCTATCCTTACATTTCTAAAGAAATTAGTTTTAATTAAGATTTAAAACTTCATGGCTCGAGTAGGTTCCTTATATCGCAAAGAAGAGCATTCCAGACGGCCGTAGAAGCGCATCTGAAAGCACACGATGCAGTGACCGTCTTTGGTTGATGGTTAGCCAAAAGCCGCTGTGAGGGTGACCGGAGTTTGCATGATGGTTTATGCTCATTGACGAGATCAGCATTGTGGTTCATTTGTGGCAAGTATATATTACACCGCAGGGATATATGCCAATCGTTTTGCCCGTAGTGGACACTAATGGCATTTCCCAACCCAGATGGTACCAGATAGAATGCCTATTCATTGCAATGTCATGGAAAAGTTTAGGGCTGAATTAACTAGTTTCGCACCCGGCACACCTGATCCAGTATATCTGGCATAGTCGACGTTATAATAACACCGAGCGAGGACACACAGGAAAACCCTTTCACATCCCTCATTTAATGTGGAAACGAGCACACAGCCACGACGCGCGATGGTGGAAGTGGCTCCCAGAGTTTCCCTTTTACGATTTCAGTGACAACTCCACCGTGACGAAGCCTGGCTCCATCTCTCAGCATGGGGGGGGGGGGCAGAAGAGCTGTCGTGTGGGAGACACCATAGCAGTGACTCCCGCCAAGGAGAGTGAACCTGGATGGGCAAAAGGTGGGTCATAACCCACTAGGGCCCACCCCAGGTCTTCCTGAGTACCGGCCCTGACCGCGAGACGCACGGCGAGGGTTGCGGTCCAGCCTCAACCATCACCGTCCCTCGACTCGGATAGCCGCCATGCCACATCCTAGCGTGGGGACGTTGCATTCGGTGGCGGTGACTGTGGCAGTGGTGATGACACAGGACCGGCGTGGCGATGATCGTACGGACCCCAGCTCCACGATTCTGTGCGACTGGGTGATTGAGCCACCCCAAATCCCGCTGAGGACGGGAGGGAGGGGGACCTGATGGCACAGTCGGCGAAGGGAGCAGCCGGCCGTGCGAGCGGCGAGATGGGGGACGCAGGGAGCGTGAGGTTCGGTGTGTGCGGTGGCGTGGAGGTGTGCGGTGACGGTGCTGAGCCCAGCTGGGCGGCCAGCGGAGTGCCGATGTCCAGGGCCCAAGTCTCCATCATGTCCATCTCCCCATAGTGGCACTCGAGAACCATGGAGAAGGTCAGCGATCCCTGCAACAGACATGTGTTCACTCGGCTCATAGTGACCGCACCCGGTGACACAGCGCCCTGGGGCAGCGCCGTCAGTCGGGGCGGTGTGGGTTGGGTGGTGTGGTTGTTGTGGGTGGAGTTGGCGGTGTGGGCAGTGTTGTTGGTGTGGTTGATGTGGGAGGTGTGGTTTGTGTGGGTGGCCTTGGTTGTCTGAGCGGTGTGCGCGGTGTGATTGGTGTGGGTGGTGTGGATGGAGTTGGCGGCATGAGCGGTATGGACGGTGTTGTCTGTGTGATTTGCGTGTGTTTTGCAGATGGTGTTGATGGTCCAGTTGGTGTGTGTGGTGTAGATGGTGTGGGTGGTTTGATGGGTGTGGTTAGTGTGAGCAATGTGGTTGGTGTGGTGTGAGCGGTGTGATTGGTGTGGTTGGTGTGAGCAGTATGGTTGGTGTGAGCGCTGTGGTTTGTGTGAGTGGTGTGGTTGGGTGGTTAATATGAGCGGTATGGTTACTTTGGTTGGTCTGAGCGGTATGGTTGGTGTGGGCGGTGTGGTTGGTGTGGTTTGTGTGAGCGGTGTGGTTGGGTGGTTAATGAGCGGTATGGTTACTTTGCTTGGTCTAAGCGGTATGGTTGGTGTGGGCGGTGTGGTTTGTGTGGGTGGTGTGGTTTGTGTGAGCGGTGTGGTTGGGTGGTTAGTGTGAGTGGTGTGGTTGTTTTGGTTGGAGGGAGTGGTGTGGGCGGTGTGGTCTTTGTGGTTGGTGTGAGCGGTGTGGTTTGTGTGAGCGGTTTGGGCGGTGGGTGTGCTCACCCGCAGGTGCTGCAGTCCTGTGACACGTGTGTAGAAGCACGGCTCTGCCGGGCGGTGAGGTACTGACCCCTCGCTGCCGAGCACCTCCAGGCTACTAAGATTGCTCATCTTGGCATCCACTTCCAGCTCCTGCCATAAACGTCCACGTGTGCATGTGTGTGCATGTGTGGGCACGCGTGAGGAGTGGTAGTGTCGCAGTTAGCGCACTGTACTACGAACTTGGCGACCCAAGTTTGATTCCAGCACCAGTGACTATTAACTGAACTGGTCTTGGGCCTCCCCTGGGGCGAACTCAAAATGAGTACCTGGTGCGGTGTGTAACACCACCACTGGGGAGACAAAGGCGGCCGGGCATGGTGCTAGCCACCCACCCCCTTGTGTGTCATGCTGACCTTCATAGGTGCAAAATAACATGACCTGCCCCAAAAGTCTATTAAAGGCTACACGGGAGATCTTTGTGTGTGTGTGTGGATTTACATGTGACGAAGTCACTATTATTCTGACTCCCTGGATCCTGGCCTGATGGCGTCAGACGCAGTTTCACGTGAAGCATCTTTTATCGAATCGCTGCTAAATCTGGCCGTGAGGATTGCCCTCTCACCGGTGAGTGAGCTGAAGCAATCGTAACCAGCGACCCGTTGTCACATCAATTGTGTACCACGCGGCAACTGAATTTGGCCAGATCATTACGTGGCCCAGTAGATTTGTGTGACCAGGTGGGAGCTCAAGAGACCAGGAAGAGCCTCATTTGCAAGAGTGGCCTGGGGAATTTGTCTGCTGCCAGTCTGTGTAAAGGTGGAAAATACAAAAGATCAACGATTTCCGGACGCATCGGGGGGAAGGAGGAGCCAGATTTTCAAAAAAGCCAGATATATCCAGTGAGGGAAATAAGTATTTGATCCCCTGCTGATTTTGTACGTTTGCCCACTAACAAAGGAATGATCAGTCTATAATTTTAATGGTAGGTTTATTTGAACAGTGAGAGACAGAATAACAACAAAAAAATCCAGAAAAATGTATGTCGAAAATGTTATAAATTGATTTGCATTTTAATGAGGGAAATAAGTATTTGACCCCTCTGCAAAACATGACTTAGTACTTAGTGGCAAAACCCTTGTTGGCAATCACAGAGGTCAGACGTTTCTTGTAGTTGGCCACCAGGTTTGCACACATCTCAGGAGGGATTTTATCCCACTCCTCTTTGCAGATCTTCCCCAAGTCATTAAGTTTTCGAGGCTAACGTTTGGCAACTCGAACCTTCAGGTCTGGAGACTGGCTAGGCCACTCCAGGACCTTAATGTGCTTCTTCTTGAGCCACTCCTTTTTGTTGCCTTGGCCGTGTGTTTTGGGTCACTGTCATGCTGGAATACCCATCCACGACCCATTTTCAATGCCCTGGCTGAGGGAAGGAGGTTCTCACCCAAGATTTGATGGTACATGGTCCCGTCCATCGTCCCTTCGATGCGGTGAAGTTGTCCTGTCCCCTTAGCAGAAAAAAACACCCCAAAGCATAATGTTTCCACCTCCATGTTTGACGGTAGGGATGATGCTCTTGGGGTCATAGGCAGCATTCCTCCTCCTCCAAACACGGCGAATTGAGTTGATGCCAAAGAGCTCCATTTTGGTCTCATCTGACCACAACACTTTCACCCAGTTGTCCTCTGAATCATTCAGATGTTCACTGGCAAACTTCAGACGGGCATGTGTATGTGCTTTCTTGAGCAGGGGGACCTTGCGGGCGCTGCAGGATTTCAGTCCTTCACGGCATAGTGTGTTACCAATTGTTTTATTGGTGACTATGGTCCCAGCTGCCTTGAGATCCTCCCGTGTAGTTCTGGGCTGATTCCTCACCGTTCTCATGATCATTGCAACTCCACGAGGTGAGATCTTGCATGGAGCCCCAGGCCGAGGGAGATTGACAGTTCTTTAGTGTTTCTTCCATTTGCGAATAATTACACCAAATGTTGTCACCTCACCAAGCTGCTTGGCAATGGTCTTGTAGCCCATTCCAGCCTTGTGTAGGTCTACAATCTTGTCCCTGACATCCTTGGAGAGCTCTTTGGTCTTGGCCATGGTGGAGAGTTTGGAATCTGATTGATTGATTGCTTCTGTGGACAGGTGTCTTTTATACAGGTAACAAGCTGAGATTAGGAGCACTCCCTTTAAGAGTGTGCTCCTAATCTCAGCTCGTTACCTGTATAAAAGACACCTGGGAGCCAGAAATCTTTCTGATTGAGAGGGGGTCAAATACTTATTTCCCTCATTAAAATGCAAATCAATTTATAACATTTTTGACATGCGTTTTCTGGATTTTTTTGTTGTTATTCTGTCTCTCACTGTTCAAATAAACCTACCATTAAAATGATAGACTGATCATTTATTTTTCAGTGGGAAAACGTACAAAATCAGCAGTGGCTCAAATACTTTTTTCCCTCACTGTAATCACATCATGATTTAAAATAGCTTTTTTTGCACATTCTTGTTTAACATTATGTTTTAGGTGTTGTGTATATGTTTTTTAGTTTTTTAAATGTTTCCTATTTGAAATTGGCATAAACATACATACAAATAGAGAAATATCCTCCTGTAAAAAGTTACTGCATTTACTGTACCGTACTTACCACACCAATCTCGAAGACTCTGCATGGAGTGATGTATGTACTGGGCTGTTTCAAAAACCACTCATCTGACGATCGCTTGACTGATGTAGCCTTTAGATCAGTGCTCCGGCGAACGCCGAATTACATGCACTTTTCGCCGGACTGCGCTATATATTTTCAGTTTTAATTTCTGTACCTATTTTTCTAGTCAGGGCGGCTGCCGGAATCGAACCGTGTAGCTCTTCAAAATGCGGGGAACACGCTGCTGTGTTGCCGGGTTGCCGCATGGCCACTCGGCACATGTGAGTGGCCGTCACACTACTCACGTCCGGCAGGTCGGTGACATATGCGCGGCACGAGACCACGCCGGCGCCGCGCTCCAGGACTCGTGCGTAGATCACCAGCACGTTGGAGAACTCGGCAGCAAAGCCCAAGTGCACAAGGCAGCCCGAGTCAAACTCGCGCGTGCGGCTGGGGGGTAGCTCTGAGGGCACCGTGAGAGGCATGGGAGTCAGTGACAGAGGAGAATCTCAAAGGGGGGGGCAGACGGTCTTCAAATTTAAAGCTTTTAATTGTAGCCCTACACCAATAAATAACAAACATACATTGTGCATTCTTTCTGGTTGAAGGCTCTACCAGGTGCTGCCTGTTTAACCTCATCTATGCTGTGTTCAACCACCACCCCCTGCAGGTCACAGCAAGACACCCACTCATCCAACAACAACCACCATTCTCTACTGATTGGCGGTGACGTCACTACAGCGTTTGTGCCAGGCTAAGTGCACGTTGAGGCCACGTGAAGTGTCGAATGCCCGCTGGCAGTAGGTCACGGGGCAGACCCAGGTGCCACGGGTCGACTGACTGAGACGACTGGCCGATCCACCACTTGTGCCCCCTACTGTGCCAACTTGCTGTACTTTAGCCACCCGGTGCTCCGCTCGTTGTTGTGAGCATCGCTCCTCCGCCCTCCGTTGTTGTTGGAGGGCGAATGCCTCAAACTGCCCAGTAGCATCCTTCACGAGCCTCCTCCATAGAGGCCGATCTTGACACCGCTGGTACCAGTCATCGGCAAGTCCACTCAGTTCCACATCCTCCTGTACCATATCACTCCATCTCTTCTCTAGCCCGTGCCACGCCCGTTTAGCACCCTCGATCCGGCCGAACAAAAGCTGTTTAGGCATGCGGTGGCTGGGCATGCGGGCTACATGACCCAGCCAACGCAGCCTTGCCCGCCGGAGTAGCTCACCGATGGGACTTTTTTCAGATATTTCAAGGATTTGTGAGCTCACACAACCCAGCCTGGTTAAACCCAGGATTGATCATAGGCAGGCCAGCCTAAATGTTTCTAACCGGTGAAGATGTTCCATTAGGGGGGGTCCACGTTTCGCAAGTGTAGAGAAGGTAGGGCATGACTGTGGCCTGAAGCTTCATGTGGAGCGACAGACCAGCTAGCTTCCACACATTATGCAACTGATGAAAAGATAATGCCGCTCGACTGATTCGGAGTGAGACCTCTGCTGTCAAACAAAGCCACTTATGAGCACACTGCCCAGGAATGGGAAGCTCTCCACTCTCTCCACAAATGCCCCATCACCAATTGGGAGTTGTGGGGGCGGAGTGTTCGATGGTACAAAATACCCAGGCAGGTGCTTAGTTTTGGTGGGGCTGATGATAAGGCCCCACCTCTTAGTGGTACGCTCCAGGTTCAGCAGCAGCGCCTCAACTCCTCCTCTGAGTGAGCAGCAATTACCAGATCATCGGCATACATAACATGGTTGACCAATAGGGAGCCATCCCTTGACCGTACCTGGGCATCGATCAGCCTCCCATTGTATCTGTACCAGATGGAAATTCCTCCGGTACAGCAATCGAAGGATTCACGAACTACGTGGTCGAAATAGATGTTAAATAATGTAGGAGCCAGAGGACATCCCTGTCGCACCCAAAGGTGAACAGGGAATGGCTCCGACTCCCGGCCACGTAGTTTTACCCGGGCACGCTCACCATCATGAAGGTCCTTAATGATCGTGAGCAGAGTCAGGGACTCCGAAAGCACGAAGAACAACCCAGATCCCAGGCCTACTGATGGTATCATTGGCCTTGACCAGATCAATAAAGCATAGATGTAGGTCTTGTTAGAATTCCCTACATCTGTGTAGGACCGCCCTTTCCTGAAACCACATTGGGCTCTGCAAGGCACTCCTCAGTGTGACTGGCAAGGCGATGTTGAATAATTCTTGCCAGGACCTTTCCCGGCACACTGAAGAGTGAGATGCCCCTGTAGTTGTTACAGTCTGTCCGGTCCCCCTTCTTAAAGAGAGGGTCCACCAGGGCATCCTTCCAATCCTGAGGAACCCGTCCAGTGGTCCAGACTGTTGTTATGATGTCATGTAGGGCACTCTGTGCACAAACGCCACCCTCCCTCAACATTTCGCTTGGGAGATCATCTCTGCCCGGTGCCTTTCCTGGTCTCAGACTCTGGATGGCCTTCAGTACATCCTCAACAGATGACACCTCAGCCAGCCACTCACAGGGGGTGATTTCTTCCTCCAATATTTGAGGCACCGCACTCACTCATCGAATCATTTACTCACCCACACACTCACTCGACTACTCACTCACCCACTCACTGGCACCATCACTCACTCACCAACTCACTCACCCCCTCCTTCACCGACTCACCAACTATCCCACTCACTCACTTACTCACCACACTGCAGGTCACCTCACTTCTGTTCCTTTCCTTGAACTGCTTCACTGTGGAATTCCCTTCCATCATCTCTTTCCCCAAGCTCTTGTCATAAATAACGTTGCTCAAGTCAAGAAACGTGTAACACTCTTCTCTATTAAAACTGTGATGGTGCTGTCTGTTGCTGGCTGCTTGACATTGTGAGTCCCTGGGCCTGCGCTAGGCCCCTGTGCTCTAAAACGCGCATGGTACCGTGCGCCTGCGCCCAGCGCTGGTAGATGGAGCGCGCGGGGAAGCCGTGGGCAGGTCTGCGGGGGTCGGTGAGGGCACGCCGCTCAGACAGGCTGCTCCGGATCTCCAGCGCCTGCCTCCCGCGTGCCAGGTTACAGCGGCCCATGTCTGCGCGCATGCAGAGAAGGAGATCCACACCTAAGCCTGAACAGACCTTGGTGAGCGAGCAACTATGAAGCCCAACACGGCGCATGAGGGGGTGGTGTGGTCGGCACCACGCGCAGGCGCATATCTATACAGATCCAGGCAGGCAATGCCCAATTTTACGACGTGACAATGTGTTCCTGGAAACCCCATCGTAAATCAGACCCTATTCCCATAGACAGTCAAAACAGTAGAAACATAATTTTTCCTTTTATCAGCAATATTTAACAGGGGTTAAGTGGTAAAAAAAATCCACAAAAACACTTGAGAATAACAAAAGCTCCATGCCAAGTCACATCAGAAAGCAGACCAACTCTGTTCAAATGTGTTCAGAGTCACGTCGGAAGATGCGTCGTCAATCACGTTTTTGCATCATAAATCGAACAATGGTGGCATTATATAACGTCGTAAATGTGGATCGTCGTAAACCGGAGACGACATGTACTAAGGCTGAGTCAACCTCGGGGAGGCCCAGAACCTGTTCAGATATTCCTCACCGATGTTAGCCGTGAGCGGGAATTGTTGTGGAGAAGATAAGTAACAAAATCAATAAGCAGAAAAATGCCAGCCTCCTTCACATAGCTCCTCATCTATTGAGTTAATTCTACATGACGACAATAATGATTGCTTTGCGTTGTGTGTTGTATATTCTTTGGTTCTTTCGGTAAAGTCACGTAGACAGGTTAAAATTAATACAAATAAACAAAAAAAACCCACGACGTTTCGTTCACCACACAAGCGGTCGTCATCAGGCGGAGAGAAAAGGGGGGTAAGCCTCAAATGCAACTGTTAAGAAAGGTTTAAAAGTGGGTGTAGCCCAAGTGTAGTTTTGCATTGAACTAGGACCCATATCTACCGGAGAGGGTCCTTGCCCATAAACAACTGGCAATTCACCAGCATTGGTTCAAGCATGCCTGACTGCTGAGGATACACTGAATGGCAAAACTAGTCCAGAGTTTGCTTGTGTTGAACCAATGCTGCTGGAATTATGCACTGAGGGGATGTGTAGAAAATACGAGAATATTTTTTGTGTGTAGGGACTGACATGGGACGGAATCAAGCACCTCATCTGCTTGTTGATTGTGTGGTAGCTGGGGCGAGGAGGAGGAGGAGGGCAGAATGAATGCCACACGGGCACGGAGGAGGTGCATGCAGCGAGTTCCAGTGTGAAAGTGGATGCATGTTCACATGCATGTATTCGCGTGTGTGTGGGAAGCGGTAGTGTAGTGGTTAGTTCGCTGTTCTACGAACCCGGCGGCTGGAATTCAATTCCCGCTCAAGGCCAACACCAGTGGCGATTATCTGAACCAGTCCTGGGCCTCCTCTACATCGACTCAGCTTCAAATGAGTGCCTGATGCGGTGTGTAAAAATCATTACCACTGGGGAGACAAAGGTGGTCAGGCATAGTGCTGTACATCCATCCCCAACGTGTACCGTGTCAGTCTTCACAGGTGCTCGTTAACAGCACTTGCCCCAACAGCCTGTTAAGGCTATACGGAGGATCTCATCTTTGTTAGTGTGCACTCAAAGTGCACCTGGCCTAGCACAAGTGCCGTGGTGACGTCACCGCCATTTAGTGGCGATTAGCGGCTGTTGTCATGTGTGTGCACCTTTATAGGGTCACCTGACGATGTGTGTCCAGGCCCTGGTGTGGGCTGACCATGAGGATTGGTAAGTGGTCGGTTCTAGAGTACCAGGGGGCGCTTGCCCTTGGCACTGCACCGTACCTTCGGCGACGCTATCCAGCATCGCCGTCACCTTGCGGTCCTCCAGCAGCCGCTCCTTGAGGAAGCGCATGAAGAGGCCATTTGCCACGCCGGCCTTCTCCCCTGGGCCCACGTCCAGCTCGTAGGCCTCCGCATCCTGGCAACTGGAGCACGGGAGGGAAGGTGACCACATGTAACTCTGTTAATGCCCCCAACGCCTGAAATTCCAATTTGTCAAAAATGTCCATGGTTACTTTCCCCAACTAAGTCACAATGTGTGGTCGAGCTTTCGATTCTGCATGATAACTTCAGCTGCAGTTGCACTTGCCTGTTGACTCAATGCAATAAGCACCCTGATTCCAGGCTGATAGTTCTGTAACCAGTGACGAACTTACGGGTAATTATTTTTTATAATTACTTTATTTGTTAAATGGGTTGTCCGACAAACTGTATACTTGCTAGATTTGCAATGTGACGACTTAGTGTTATTTTGCCGTGCGATCTCATTGGCCCATTGGGGACTGGGTCCAAAAAACAAATTGGCCGGTGAGAAAGAATCTTTGGGGCTGCCGAATATGGGGAGTTAATGCCAACTGAGATAGTAAATAAGCAATGAAGCATACACATTAGAGGTAATACTGTAAATTAATTTAATTTTACATCTATTCTTTTTACTCTGATCACATTTGCAATTTCCCCACACAAACCAGCCCATTGACCCACGGAATGGACTGGCTCACCGGGCATTTGCCCAGACTGCCCTTTGGTCAGTCTGGGCCTGTCTGTAACTAAATTATACTGTGAAAGGTTTTTTAAGGAATTTTGTCAGAGCCGACTTTCATTACAGTGCATTTACTAAATGTGATATTGTTAATGTTGTACACTGTTTTTAATTGTTTATTTTATGCACTTTTTTATCTGCATTCTATTTGGTCTTGACTCATTGGTTGTCTTTGCTCTGATTCTATTTGCTTCATTGCTGTACTGTATTTGTTTTTCTTTTGTCACTGTGGTGACCCAGGTCACTTTTGCAAATGAGACATCCTTACACAAAATTTGAAACTTGAACCCTTTCTTTAAGCAGGAGCATTTGCCTTCATAGATCACCCTAGGGTCACCACTTGTCTGGGTTGGACCTAGATACGAGGCTGCGATTTGGCATCTGTGTTCTGGTGGCAGGAACTGATTTGTACTGAGATCTGGCACCGGGATTGCTGTGTTAGACTTTCTTGCAGTGACTATGCAGCTCTGGTAGACCCAAGCCGGCAGAGATCATTGTCCGGGTTTGCTCTGTGGTTGGGAAGGGGCCACCTCTGGTTCGTACGCTTCACAACACTCCCCTCAATGTGTTTCCCTCCGTAAGTAGCCCCCTCCCGTGTTCCTCCCCTGCCATGACTGCTCTCCTGTAACTGGCTTTCGCACCTATGACTGCCCTCCCCTCCCGTGACGGTTCTCATGTGACTGCTCTCCTATGAGTGCATGCACTCCCCTCCCATGAGCACTCTCACGTCTGCCCTCCCCTCCCGTGACTGCTCTGTATCTGCCCTCCCCTGCCGTGACTGCTCTGCCGTGACTGCTCTCCCATGACTGCATGTACTCCCCTCCCGTGACCATTCTCACGTGGCGTATCCAAACACGATGTTGGCCGTCACCTCCAGTGTCTCCACAGGTGGCACCGTGCACTCATGCACGTTGCTGCAACCGACACACACAGGACACCGCACACCAAACGAAACACACCGCACCACACACCACACCGCACAGTGTTGAATTTACTGTGCTAGGAACCAGGCGAACCGGGTGCAATTCCTGGTCATGCCCAAATTTAGTTACAAATATCTGAAATGGTCTCCCCTATGTCAAATCAGCCTTGAATGAATACCTGATGGCAACGTGTAAACATCAGGACTCTGGAGACAAAGGCGGTTAGGCATGGTGCTGGCTACCCTCCTCAATTGCACTCTGGCATTAACAGCTGCTTGCTAACAGCACTTGCCCCAACAAGTCTGTTGCTTTGTATATTGTATGTATGGGTGTATATGGGATTTATGTGTAAAACATAAAACACTAAACAATGATTCATCTTCTTTGGTTCTTTCGGTAAAGTCACGTAGAATGAGAATAAAATAATAAATTGATAAATATTATTGTGTTATTTTATTTTATCAATTTATTATTTTATTCTCATTCTACGTGACTTTACCGAAAGAACCAAAGAAGATGAATCATTGCAGTCACGAAAGCTTTAAATCGAAAACTAAACAATGACCCAGAAACACGATTGCCGTCAGGTCACAAATCACCGCACCGGACAAATCAGATGGTACCACTGCGGCACGCACGTACCGCTTGCGGCACATGTCGAGCAGCAGCACGTTGAGGCCCGTGCGCCGGGCCTGCATGCCCCGCAGGATGGTGGTAGCGCTGAGCGCGTGCTCGCTCAGGTAGGGCCTCGGCGCATCCACGGGGACCAGATAGCTCTGCCCATAGTTCTCAAAGCCGTGGCCCGCGAAGTAGAGCAGACCTGTCAGCATGGAGACGCGAATTATCATTCTGCGTAAAGTATATATGTTGAACTTCTTTCGCATGGTACATAGCCAACCGTGCAAATCGAAGATGCGGGGGAAGGACAACAAACTAAACACAAAATAAATTAGTTTTCAATCTAGATTTGAAAGTGCATCGCTCCAGTGGCTTCTTAATATCATAGAGAAGAGCATTCCAGACAGCTGCAGAAGCGCATTTGAAAGCGCACGATGCAGTGTTCATCTTTGTTCGATGGTTAGCCAAAAGCCTCTGTGAGGATGACCGGAGTTAGCATAATGGTTTATGTTCCTTGATGAGATCAGCAAGGTATTGTGGTTCATTTGTGGCAAGCACTTTGTGTGTAATGAGTGCAACCTTATAAGTGCCATGTAGTTCTGCGTTGAACTCAGGCCCATATCTTAAACAAGGGGTCCATGCCTATCATATTTGGCAGTTCACCAGCATTGGTTCAAGCACACCTTACTCTGGTAATGGGAAACTAAGTTTGAAGTTAATTTGTTTAACCAGGTGAGACCTCAAGAGACCAGGATGAGTCACATTTACAAGAGTGACCTGGGTCACCACAATGACAGAAGCAAAACAAATACAGTACAGCAATGAAGCAATTAGAAATCAGAGCAAAATCAATTGTATCCCATGAGATTGCACAAACACAAATCTATGTTTAATAATAAATTCCCTGTAGCATGAGTCGGCATGGCAAGATTGTGCTTTGACTGATCACAGCATGAGTACAATGTGAATTTACAGAAATATGAACGAGATACAGGGTTCATCTTCTTTGGTTCTTTCGGTAAAGTCACGTAGATTGAGAATAAAATAATAAATTGATAAAATAAAACAACACAATAAAATTCTCATGACGTTTCGGCCACAACACAAGCGGCCTTCATCAGGTGAAGGGACGTCGTGAGAATTTTATTGTGTTATTTTATTTTATCAATTTATTATTTTATTCTCATTCTACGTGACTTTACCGAAAGAACCAAAGAAGATGAATCCTTGCAGTCACGAAAGCTTTAAATCGAAAAGAGATACAGGGTGACTATTGTACTCATGTGTGAACAGACGAGGGAATACGAGCCAAATGCAAATCCTTAGTGATTGTCAAAACCTGTCCAGAGTTTGCTTGTGTGAAGGAAGAGGCATCGTCTGCTTATTCATTGTGTTACTTATATTCTCCACAGTGAAACGAGTGATAGCTTCGAGTTGTGTGTTGCATAACACATGTTGCAGGGTGTCACTGGGCTGGGTGCCAGCATTAGAAATGCAGGGTGTCACTGTGCCTGGTGCACTGTGTCACTGTGCTGGGTGCCACAGTATTGGAGCTGTGCCGTGTGTCAGAGCTGGTGCTGAAGGGTGCTGCTGCAGGGTGCTGCCGCAGGGCGCACACACCATACACGCCCTCGTCCAGCAGCTCAAGGAACCGCGCCACGGCCAGCCGCATGTGCTGGAGGTCGAGGTCAATGAGGGTCACGACCCGGAAGTCGAGCACGCGCAGCAGCGACGTGAGGTCACGGGCGTCGACCAGGGGGGGCGCGCAGGGCGGTGTGGTTCCGGTAACTCAAGTTGCCGATCACCAGCGCCACCTTTTCAGTTGCTGTGATGACAAACGAATGCGCACGCAATGAGTCGCTGCTGCTGCAGGCCTAGCAGAGATGGCATTGTAGTGGCATTCAAATGTACACTCTGCAACCAGGTGGGCAGCACTGAAGAGACCTGGATTAGTTTAATTTGCAAAACAAATCAAATAAAATACAGCTATGAAGCAAATGGGAAATCGGAGCAAAAATAACTATTGGACAAACATAAATCAGTGTTACATAATAAATTATCTGCAGCATAAGTTGGCTCGAGCAGATTGTGTTTAGACCGATTACAGCACAATTACAATTAACTTACAGAAGCATTAAACAGACATAGGGTGTCTAGGGTATTGTGCTAATTTGTACACAAACAAGGACATAAGAGAGTCAGATAGAGTGCCTATAGCAGTAACTTGGAGGTTTTCGCAGCTGGAGGTAGGATTTATTATTAATTTCCTAGTTAGACCACGTGACGATCTGGCCAAATGTGGTCGTATGAACCAGCCACCACATGATGCAGCCAAATCAAATTGTCAGAGAACACAGAATCGTTCTTTAGCTCAAGGGCGAGTGAACTGACACAAAAGTGAGCGGCGCACATTAAGCAGTTTGCAGATGTGACAACTGTATCTGTTTGGCTGTGCCAGGTGGTGGAGGGTTTACACGATGACATTTGGCCAGATTACGTGGCCTAGTACAAAAAAATATGTTTGAATATAAACACAATCCAACATGCACTACATCTTACCATGACACTCAAAAAACCTTACCATAAAACATGGTCTGGAAGGAACTTGACTCCGCATCTGAAAGTATAGGAACCATTAATTAACCAATGCTGGTACTGCCAAATATTATAGGCAACGGTCTTTTCTGTTAGTTATGGGTCATAGTTCAACCCAAAATTAAACAATAAAAAGAACAGAATAATTACTAGGATCATTGTAGGGAATATAACAAAATAAGTAAGCAGACAATACGTCTCCTGTTCACCATGCAAAGGATCAAGCAAGCCCAACTGCTATTGAGACACCAAATGTCGAAACCAATGCTTCTGAAATGATGCAGCAATGGAAGGCCGCGTGACTGATGGAATGTGTACAAAATACTTAAAATGTTTACGTGGAGAGACAAACAAGGGAAGCAGGCGAATTGTCTGCCTCCGCAACCACGCTATTGCAAATGGAGGTCGCGGATATGGTGGTAGGCTGCGCATTACTGAAGGAGCCTCAGGCTACAGACTGTGCGACACTTGGGCTATGTTGCGCAAAGCTGCTCTGACAGTGGGGTGCAACCTGGCGGATTGTACCGAGGGGTAAGAAGGGCGACTGTGAGGGGCTCTGGGGACCCCAGGCCTGCGTGGCCCCCGTGGCCTCCGTGTGCTCCACAGGACCAGGTCTTTTCTCTGCGTGCGCACACACAAAGACAAACGTCATGTTAGCTAGCACCTATTTAGGTTGACACTACACACGAGGAGGTTGGTCAGCTTCATGCCCGACCACCTTTGTCTCCCTCGTGCTTATGTTTTCACACAGCACCGGGTACTCATTTCGGACCGAGTCCGACGAAGGGGAGGCCCAGGCCGGAGTTCAGATGTTTTGCACTGGTGTTGGCAGTGAGTGGGAGTGGGAACTGAACTTGGGTCGCCGGGTTCGTAGTGCTGCGCTCTAACCGCGGCAATGACCTGGTGTCGTTTGATCGCCCAGCACCCTCAGCCTGATCCAGTCAGTGAAGGCGTAGCTGATTTCGTTGTGAACGCGGCATGTGTAGTGACCGGAGTCACGCGGCGACACGGACACCAGCAGCAGCTCAGGGCCCACGGCGTCCGGGATCTGACAAGGCAAAGGGGTCGGTGACAGTGAAGTTCAGATATGGGAAGGGGGAGACATTGTCTGCTTATTAATTGTGTTACTTATATTCTCCACAATGACGCTCATGATTATCTTGTGTTGTGGCAGTTCACCAGCATTGGTTCAAGCAAGCCTGGCTCTGCTGATGAGACACTGAATGTCAAAACCGGTGCAGAGTTGAACCAACGCGGCTGGCATGATGCACTCCCAGAAGGGAGGTTGTGTGGCTGATGGGCCGTGTACTAAACACTGTACTTGTATTTTGTGGAGGGCAGCTATGGTAAGGAGGGGGCGTCTTGTTTGCTCGCCCGTGTTGTGATTTCTACGTGTCGGTGCGCACGTTGGCGTTCATCCGTGGCGTACCGCTAACACCTTGACAATGCAATCGTGCACGCGCGTGCGCAGTGCGGTGGGCACACGTGGTGCCAACGCGGGACTCACCTCGTGTTTGCCGTGGAACCAGGTGAACCGTGGCGGGGGGTTGCCACGTGCACGGCACTCCAGAGTGACGGACTCTCCCCGCCAGGCCTGCCGCGACTCCGAGCGCCACTCAACAAACACCGGTTCTATCGGCACGCAGCCACGCACGGCACGCAAGCTTCACTCGTCGATCCCTCCACCTGTCACAATGTCATGTCGTCCACACTGTGTTCAACCACTAGCACTGCAGGTCACAGCAATACACTCAAAAGCTGACTCGCTCGCTCTCCCACTCACTCACCCACTCATTCGCTCACTAACTCACCTACCCACTCATTCACTCACCCACCCACCTACACACTCACCCACTCAACCATTCTGCACTGCAGGCCACCATACTTCTTCCCTCACACTGCTCAAATTTGTAAACCACACACCCGTGCCAGTAGGTACTCTTGTACCAGTAGGTCCCCTGTGCCAGAAGGTCAACAACAACTGTGGCCCGGACTCACCCTGCCCGAGGGCCCTGACCGCGTCGTCGCGTCCCATGGCCCCCAGGGCCCGTGCCAGAGCGGACACCCGCACCCCGCGGGCCCCCAGAGCCGACAGGAGGCGCGCCGAGGGGCCCGGCTCGCCGATCTCCAGCTCGTCCTCCCTGGGCAGACGCGGACACTCGCCTCAGAGGAGTTCACCGTCGATACATCAAACCATGGTGGCAATGATGTCGGGGGGAGGGGGGGGCATACACACGTCAACACGAAGGGGACCACGAGCCTGGCTGAGGGGATCCAGATCTGCGGGGGATCCCCGACTCTGAGGCGACTGAGGGAACACACTGACCGTGCCTGAGGAGACCCCGACCCCGAGGGGAATTGATTCTGAGGGGACCCTGCCTCACAACCCCATCTACGGGACTCCCCTGACCGACCCCACGCAGGGCTGGTTACCGGAAGTTGTGAGCGCGGGCGAGGCCTCGCCAGCCCCGGCCTCCGTTCGCGTCGAGGACCGCGCACAGCCGCGCAGCGACTCCCGGGGAGAGGCCATCGAGCCCGGCCGCGTCACTGGGCTCCATGGGACCTCCTCTCGGGACCTCCTCTCTCCGGAGCGCAACGCAAAGACTCCCCGGCTACTTCTTGCCGGCGGCTGACCGCAGCCCGTGCCCTCACGGGCGGGAAGGGCAGCGAGGGGCAGCGAGGGGCAGCTACAGACACGAAGAGTGGGAGGGGGGCAGCGATAGACTGCGATGGGGTTACGCGAAGGGGCGACTTCCCGGTGTCGGCTTGAGTCGTTTCCGCGTTGTGGGTTCTCGTCGCTGCCTCAGAGCGCGGCCTTGTGGCAACAGCGCGCCACTACTCACAGTACCAACATTGCTCCTGTACTAACACTGGAACTAACACTACCCACAGTACCAACATTGCTCCTGTACTAACACTGGAACTAACACTACCCACAGTACCAACATTGCTCCTGTACTAACACTGGAAATAATACTACCCACAGTACCAACATTGCTCCTGTACTAACACTGGAACTAATACTACCCACAGTACCAACGTTGCTCTGTACTAACACTGGAACTAACACTACCCACAGTACCAACATTGCTCCTGTACTAACACTGGAACTAACACTACCCACAGTACCAACGTTGCTCCTGTACTAACACTGGAACTAACACTACCCACAGTACCAACATTGCTCCTGTACTAACACTGGAACTAACACTACCCACAGTACCAACATTGCTCCTGTACTAACACTGGAACTAACACTACCCACAGTACCAACATTGCTCCTGTACTAACACTGGAACTAACACTACCCACAGTACCAACGTTGCTCCTGTACTAACACTGGAACTAACACTACCCACAGTACCAACATTGCTCCTGTACTAACACTGGAACTAACACTACCCACAGTACCAACATTGCTCCTGTACTAACACTGGAACTAACACTACCCACAGTACCAACATTGCTCCTGTACTAACACTGGAACGAACACTACCCACAATACCAACATTGCTCCTGTACTAACACTGGAACTAACACTACGCACAGTACCAACATTGCTCCTGTACTAACACTGGAACTAACACTACCCACAGTACCAACATTGCTTGTGTACTAACACTGGAACTAACACTACGCACAGTACCAACATTGCTCCTGTACTAACACTGGAACTAACACTACCAACAGTACCAACATTACTCCTGTACTAACACTGGAACTAACACTACGCACAGTACCAACATTGCTCCTGTACTAACACTGGAACTAACACTACCAACAGTACCAACATTGCTCCTGTACTAACACTGGAACTAACACTACCCACAGTACCAACATTGCTCCTGTACTAACACTGGAACTAACACTACCCACAGTACCAACATTGCTCCTGTACTAACACTGGAACTAATACTACCCACAGTACCAACGTTCCTCTGTACTATCACTGGAACTAATACTACCCACAGTACCAACGTTGCTCTGTACTAACACTGGAACTAACACTACCCTCAGTACCAACATTGCTCCTGTACTAACATTGGAAATAACACTACCCACAGTACCAACGTTGCTCTGTACTAACACTGGAACTAACACTACCCACAGTACCAACATTGCTCCTGTACAAACACTGGAACTAATACTACCCACAGTACCAACGTTGCTCTGTACTATCACTGGAACTAATACTACCCACAGTACCAACGTTGCTCTGTACTAACACTGGAACTAACACTACCCACAGTACCAACATTGCTCCTGTACTAACACTGGAACTAACACTACCCACAGTACCAACATTGCTCCTGTACTAACACTGGAAGTAACACTACCCACAGTACCAACATTGCTCCTGTACTAACACTGGAACTAATACTACCCACAGTACCAACGTTCCTCTGTACTAACATTGGAAATAACACTACCCACAGTACCAACGTTGCTCTGTACTAACACTGGAACTAACACTACCCACAGTACCAACATTGCTCCTTTACTAACATTGGAAATAACACTACCCACAGTACCAACGTTGCTCTGTACTAACACTGGAACTAACACTACCCACAGTACCAACATTGCTCCTGTACAAACACTGGAACTAATACTACCCACAGTACCAACGTTGCTCTGTACTATCGCTGGAACTAATACTACCCACAGTACCAACGTTGCTCTGTACTAACACTGGAACTAACACTACCCACAGTACCAACATTGCTCCTGTACTAACATTGGAAATAACACTACCCACAGTACCAACGTTGCTCTGTACTAACACTGGAACTAACACTACCCACAGTACCAACATTGCTCCTGTACAAACACTGGAACTAATACTACCCACAGTACCAACGTTGCTCTGTACTATCACTGGAACTAATACTACCCACAGTACCACGTTGCTCTGTACTAACACTGGAACTAACACTACCCACAGTACCAACATTGCTCCTGTACTAACACTGGAACTAACACTACCCACAGTACCAACATTGCTCCTGTACAAACACTGGAACTAATACTACCCACAGTACCAACGTTGCTCTGTACTATCACTGGAACTAATACTACCCACAGTACCAACGTTGCTCTGTACTAACACTGGAACTAACACTACCCACAGTACCAACATTGCTCCTGTACTTACACTGGAACTAACACTACCCACAGTACCAACATTGCTCCTGTACTAACACTGGAACTAACACTACCCACAGTACCAACATTGCTCCTGTACTAATACTGGAACTAATACTACCCACAGTACCAACGTTCCTCTGTACTAACATTGGAAATAACACTACCCACAGTACCAACGTTGCTCTGTACTAACACTGGAACTAACACTACCCACAGTACCAACATTGCTCCTTTACTAACATTGGAAATAACACTACCCACAGTACCAACGTTGCTCTGTACTAACACTGGAACTAACACTACCCACAGTACCAACATTGCTCCTGTACAAACACTGGAACTAATACTACCCACAGTACCAACGTTGCTCTGTACTATCACTGGAACTAATACTACCCACAGTACCAACGATGCTCTGTACTAACACTGGAACTAACACTACCCACAGTACCAACATTGCTCCTGTACTAACACTGGAACTAACACTACCCACAGTACCAACATTGCTCCTGTACTAACACTGGAACTAACACTACCCACAGTACCAACATTGCTCCTGTACTAACACTGGAACTAATACTACCCACAGTACCAACGTTGCTCCTGTACTAACACTGGAAGTAACACTACCCACAGTATCAATATTGCTCCTGAACTAACACTGGAATTAACAATACCCACAGTACCAACATTGCTCCTGTACTAACACTGGAAATAACACTACCCACAGTACCAACGTTTCTCTGTACTAACACTGGAACTAACACTACGCACAGTACCAACATTGCTCCTGTACTAACACTGGAACTAACACTACCCACAGTATCAACATTGCTCCTGTACTAACACTGGAACTAACACTACCCACAGTACCAACATTGCTCCTGTACTAACACTGGAACGAACACTACCCACAATACCAACATTGCTCCTGTACTAACACTGGAACTAACACTACGCACAGTACCAACATTGCTCCTGTACTAACACTGGAACTAACACTACGCACAGTACCAACATTGCTCCTGTACTAACACTGGAACTAACACTACCCACAGTACCAACATTGCTTGTGTACTAACACTGGAACTAACACTACCCACAGTACCAACATTGCTCCTGTACTAACACTGGAACTAACACTACGCACAGTACCAACATTGCTCCTGTACTAACACTGGAACTAACACTACCAACAGTACCAACATTACTCCTGTACTAACACTGGAACTAACACTACGCACAGTACCAACATTGCTCCTGTACTAAC